TGTGTGAAGTGGAGAGTAGTTAGCCGCGAGCGCACTGGCGAAAACACAGGGGGGAAATCATGCTTGGAAAGTTTATACGTTTCCTGACCCTACTTTTCTATGTACGTATTTCTTTTTTATACCAATGTGTTCGCAATAAAATTTTCTATAAGATGAACTGTATAACATTTGTACAAAGCATGTGTAAGAGAAGCGCCAAATATAGAACCACGTCGCTCAGTATGCGTTCGCGGCAGAAACGAACGCATTGTTTTCGTTCGTTTGATGTTTGTCATGTTTATACTTGTTGAAACATTTTATAATTTGTATGACAGTGATCGCAGTAAAATTCCCTACACAGACATATACATAACACATACAAATATTTCCCACGTGTTGGATATATCAACGGCTAAAGGGAACCCACTGCCACACGCTCGCCACACCCCCAAACATACTTTGTGTATTTTTTTTTTTTACTCATAGAAGTTTATGTGATATAATATTCATTCTGGTACCAAAAAATTTGCAAATAAATTCTCTACAAAACAAAAGTATCCCCATCCATTTCGGTTAAAAAATGGAATTTATAGAAATATTTTTTCGATTGACGAGAAAAGTAGGCTGTTATGCAGAATCGTAAGAAAAAACGGCGACGAGTTATCTCTAATCTAAAGCGCGAAAGTGTTAATGTCTAACAGGACGTGATCACTCTTTCCCAAGGGAGGAAGGTACTGGATGTCAAAAATCTCTTCTTCTTTCCTGGTGAATACTAGATCCAGTACTGATGGTACATCTCCTTCCCTCATTCTTGTGGCTTGCTTTATGAATGTCTCCAGAATGAGGTTCACAAATCTGCATGTCCAAAAGTCCTCCGTTCTTGCTTCATAGGCCTCCCAGTCTATTGCTCTAAAGTTGAAGTCCCCCAGTATCAACAGTCGTGATTTATCTTTATCTGCTTGTACAATAATATCTCTCATGACCATTATGAGGCCCTCTCGTTTGTCATCCAGTTCTTCCTTTGTCCATGTGTTGCTTGCTGGTGGGCTGTAGGTATTTACAATTATCAGCTTATCATCCTGATTCCAGACCTGCAATGCCATTATGTCAATATCTCGAGGGTTTTCAAATATTAACTCTTTTACCTTCAGGTGTTTTTTCACCAGTACAGCCACTCCTCCTCCCTTCCTATTTTTCCTGTCACGTCTCCAAACTGAATAGCCTCTTGGGAATACGACTTCATTTATTATATTTCCTTCAAGTTTCGTCTCTGATAATGCAACAATATCTGGGACCCTAAGCTGGATTATATCTTGCAACTCCAAAGTTTTTGACCTTACTCCATCTATGTTGGTATATACAATTTTCAGGAACATGTTCCCTTTTCCTTTGCTCTTTACTCCCCCTTCCACTACTGATCTTGTTGCTTTGTTTTTATGTACCATTTCACAAGCTTTCCAGTCCCTGTCACTTTGTAAAAAAAAGAATTTCTGTCTTCTTCATTTCTATCCCCATTTAGACGTTTTGCCTCAATTAGGTTCATTTTCAGCTTTTCTCTGTCTTCCTTGGAGAGGTCTTGTCTTGGAGAGTCTTGCCTTCCTTGGAGAGTGTGTAATACAGTGTGTTACTGTGTAAATAGTGTGTGAAACTGTATATATTGTAATTTTAGTGAATTTTTAACAAGTAATATTGCGACAATAAACATTTATTGTGGACACATTACTGACACATGTATCACAGTTCCATGGTACATTATGAACGTTCTATTGTATACATATTGTAAAGGACACAAATATGCATCATATACGATAAAAAACACACATAAAACTGCATTGGAAATACATAGAACAAGTAATGGAAAATATATTTGTGGCAACTCCTGGTGCTTGAATGGCCCACATGACCGCCTCTGGGAGCGTCATGCATAGGCGACCAGCCCGTGATGACGTCACAGCGTACCTTGTCCATGTCCCCACAGCCAAAGTAAGTGGAATTTGGTATTTATTTTTACATAGACATGCTCACAGTAGGGAATTTATCATTTTACAAACAAAAAATTATTTTTGGGGAACACTTGATTTTATGCACACAGGGGGGAATGTCGCAATACAGTAAACTCGGCGCATCACAGTGGTTAAAAGGATGAAACTAAAAAATATGTATTTTATCAGTATAGTATGCTTTCTTTATTCAGAGTGAATTTGACAAGAGTTTATATAGAAAAACTGATAAATTTTAGGAACATCTCCCTTATTTTTTTTTTTTTTTTTTGAGATATATACAAGAGTTGTTACATTCTTGTACAGCCACTAGTACGCGTAGCGTTTCGGGCAAGTCCTTAATCCTATGGTCCCTGGAATACGATCCCCTGCCGCGAAGAATCGTGTTTTCATCCAAGTACACATTTTACTGTTGCGTTAAACAGAGGCTACAGTTAAGGAATTGCATTATAATTTTTCTCATTTCTCTAAAATAGTTAACCTATCTGAACACACTGTACTATTAAATACTCATTTTAGGTTTTCAATCACAAGTGCAGTACAGTACAAAATTGAAGTGCAGAGACTTGGGTAGCTTGCATGATCCAAGAAGCTAATCCAAATAGTGTAAACACAAGATAAATGTGAGGAATCACTTTGTGAGAGAGTGATATTTTAGCATTGTGCACTAAAATGTCATCCTGGCTGCCTGAAACTTGTGCAACAACTCATGTACAGGCAAACTCAAACTCACTTAGTTCAAATTTTGGTGTTAAAACACAATAAGATGCGTGTCCAAATTTGTGTCATCTGAGTTCAGGCAGAGGGAGGGTGTACTGTATTTAATTGCTTGCTTGGGAGCAGCACACACTGCATGTGCCTTTTTTCATTCATTAGTGGTAGCAAATGTTCCATTTGCAGAAACATGAGAAGTTTGTGTCCTTAATACTAGAACTGCTGTAGCTTGTCTATCATATGGATGAGGAATATTCCATCACTGCTGGATTTGATATTTACCAGGAAAGAAAGAGTTATTTAACCTTCAGTACCTTCCTTGGGTAAGAGCAACAGTGTCCTTTTCGAAATAAAATATGATGTGCGTTATGACCTAGAAGAGAATGGGGAAATGAAACAATTGAAAAACTTTATTTCGGGAGAGGAAAATATGGGGAACTTAACATGTTCATGATGAATTTCATTTCAAAGATTTGTTATTAGGCAGTGAACTATATAATATACAGTATATGATGAAGGTACACGGAAATTTATACCAGTACAGAGATGCAGAACTATGAAGCAGGATTGGTTCAATATAAATTGAGAGAGCCAGAGAACAAAAGACAAAAAAAATTGGAAATCAATATAGGAAGAGGCTTAACCATCAAATATACCAGCAATACAAACAGGCAAGAAACAACTACACAGTAGTGAGAAGAGAGTCAGAAATATACTTTAAGAAAGGGATTGCAGATAAGTGTCAAACAGAACCAGGTTTATTCTATATACTGTACTGTATTCACTAAAAGCAAATTGCAAGTAAAGTATAAAATTCAGAGGTTGGAAATGTGGAACAGATTCATAGAGATTGAAAAAGAAATGTGTGAAACACTAAATGAACAGTTCCAGAGTCTGTGTGTTCAAAATTAAATCTTTAGAGAAGCAGACAATACAGATTTCAGAGAATGCAATAGAGTACAAAACCTGTCTTGAGATAAGTGGAAAAATGCTCAAGGTGCTAGGTAAAAATTTGGCAGTGGGCCTAAATGAAGTTTCACCTTGGGTTCTAAGAAAATGTACATTTGAGCTTAGCGTTCGACTTCAATTTACTTTTTTAGTCATCTTTGTGTGCAGGAGTTTTGGCAGATATATAGAAATGTGCAAATAGTTCCAATCTATAAAGATGGTAGCAGGGGAAAACCCTTTTAACACTTTCGTCCGGCGGGGACGGATATTGCATCCATAAATAACTACAGATGTCTGTCCGGGACGCATGTTGCACCCAAAATTTAAATATTTGTTAAAATTCCATTTGTTTTCAGATCATTATGGGACTAGTTTTAAAATGTGTGCCTTTAGATTGTGAACCATTTGATATCAGAATGAATAACGTAGCATGAAAATTGAGGTGAGAAAACGGAACAGAATACTATATGCACATTTTAGTGTGGGTGTAATTACCTAATTAATTACCTAATTACCCCATGCCTTTCTGAGGGGGGCCAGGTTCTGGTTCGTGGTTCCCGGTAGGCCCACAGAACTCCATACACATGACTGATGCCAAAGTCTGACATCAGCATATCAGCCTAGTAAGCTCCGGGTCTCACCCAGAAAATAGCGTTTTATTACATTCAACGCTGCTTTTTTAGTAGAGTTGTAATATATAGGTACAGTATATAATATGATAGCATTTTTATTGTTTACAAGAAAAAAAGACACTGACGCAAACGCCTCTTGAAGGTCACCAATTGCAACGAATCCAATGCTCCAACGCATTGGGGTTGGTCCCATATAGTGCGTTGAATCGAGGTTGTACTGTATTCACATTTTAGTGCGGTTACGCGCTCACAGGTAACGCTCGGCCAATTTTCTGGTTTGCCGTGGGTAACGCGCCTGTTTGTTTTACCTTATATGCATATATCCCTTTAGAGAATTCTGTTGCGAACAATTTGATACCAAAATGAACGATATAACACGAAAATTGACATGAGAAAACTTAAAAGAGTATTCTGTACATATTTTAGTGCAGTTATGCGCTCGTGGAGTAATGCTCAGGCGATTTTGGGGTTTGCTGTGGGTGGCATGCTGGGCTTTTTTTACCCTATACAGTATGCATATATCCCTTTAGTAAATTCTATTACGAACAATTTGATACCAAAATGAACGATGTAACACGAAAATTGACATGAGAAAACTGAAGGAGTATACAGTACACTGTATTCACATTTTAATGTGGGTGCCCGCTCACAGGAAACGCCAGGCCCTCCTTTGGGTGGGCTGGGGTGCGCATGTGGGGCAGTTCAAAGTGCTAATTATACACATGTATTGTTTACAAGCATTGTAGTCAAAACATTAAAACAAATAATTAAAATCAAATGGACAGAACCCCTGGAGAGAAATTATACAATAATAGCTGGGGTGCGCATGGGGCAGTTCAAAGTGTTAATTATACACATGTATTGTTTACAATCATTGTAGTCAAAACATTAAAACAAATAGTTAAAATCAAATGGACAGAACCCCTGGAGAGAAATTATACAATAACAGTATGGTTTTCAAACAGGAAAATCCCATGTGACAAACTTACTCAGATTTTGTGATAAAGCCACAGAGATTTTACAGGAAAGATGTGTATGGGTTGACTGCATTTATCTGAATTAAAAAAAACTTTACACAGTCCCATTTAAGAAGTTTTGGAAACTACATCCATACCGAACATGGATGAAAATTTTACAACTGACAGAAAAAGGAGGGTGATAATCAGAGGCAATGTATCAGGCTGGAGAAATGTTACTAGTGGAGTATTGCAGGGTTCAGTTCTAGCACTAGTAATATTTATTATTATAAATGAACTACCAGAATGAATGCAGAATTATATGAATATGTTTGCTCTTGATGCCAAGCTACTAGGGAAGATAAGATGCCCTTTAGAAGATTGTCATGCCCTACAAGAAGACCTGGACAAAATAAATGTATGGAGTAACACTTGGCAAGTGGAATTTAATATGAATAAATGCCATCTTATGGAATGTAAAATAGGAGATAATAGGTCATATGCAACCAATAAATTGTGTGAATTTTTTTTTAGAGAATACTGATAAAGAAAGAGATATCTGAATGGTTCTGGATAAAGAATTGTCACCTGAGGACCACATAAAGAAATTGTGCGAGGAGCGTATGCTACGCTTTCCAACTTTAGAAGCGTTTATAAATATGTTGATGGTGAAATATTAATTAAATAAATTGTTCACAACATTCGTAAGACCACAATTGGAATATGCAGCGGTTGTATGGTGCCCATATCTCAAAATCACATCAATAAATTGGAGAAGGTGCAAAGACATGCAACTAAATGGCTTCCAGAAAAAAAAAAAAAAAAAAAAGCTAATTGGAGAGGTTAGAGGTGTTGAATATACCAGAGCAGAAAGATAGAAGAAAAAGAAGAGATGATCACAAAATACAACATAGTAACAGGAATTGACAATTTATAAAATTGCAACGTCAAAAACAAGAGGACATACGTTCAAACTAAGGAAACAATGCTGCTGAAAAAAATAGAAAATTCACTTTTGCAAAGAGTGACTGGTTGGAACAAGTTAAGTGAGGTGGTGGTCGAGGCCAAAACCACCAGAAGTTTTAAAGTGTCATGTGACAAGGAGTACTGGGAAGACAGGAAGGACACCACTAGCATAGCTCTCATTCTATAACAGCACCTAGGTAATTACACATAGGTGATTGCTAATAATGAACTTAATATGTAAATAGTCATATGAAATTGAGAGTTTTCCACCAAGAAATATGTACTGTACTATACTGTTCTAGATAAGTTGGTATTTTGCATGCTTTCAGTTACATTTTGTTATAGGGCAGTTGTTATAAAATATATCGGTATGTTCACAGCTTAGCACAACATTGCTGTATATCTTCAAATCTTTAAGAGATACATATGTATTTACTGTGAACTTTAAGTTTATGCCATTTTTGCCTTTTACACTAAAAAATAAAAACATTCACAGTCGTGCATAATACTCCTTGCGAATAAGCATGTCTCCTGTAATATCTTTCACTGTAGAACAACCTGTAAAAAGAAAATTAATTAATTAATATGCTATATTTTTGTAGTTGAAGGAAGAATTTTGTGAAAACTCTAAACAAATATTTTCATCATAGAGAATGTGCCTAACTAAATTTTTACAACAGCTAGAAATTTAACATAGTTGTAATGGCCTATATGTTTGGATTTTTGGATATACCCTTCTGTCCCAAAAAAGATATTGGGAGTTGTAATAGACATTTACTCTGGTCAAATTGTGTTGGCAGTGGTTCAGGTCTCAGTAAATTTAGAGTGAATCTTGATGATTTCTGTTGAGAGCCCCTCTGGCTCTTTGGAGCTATACTGGGCTATTAGACCGTGGCATCAGTTAATTAGATTGGAGTTCTAGCCTACCGGGGACCATGAGCCAGAACCTGGTTCCCACAGAGAGGCACGAGGAGCAATGACCTATAGGAACCCCCATGTGGTCTGAAGCATTCTATGTCTGCCATCTACCGGGTTAGGCACCCAGAAATGTAGGCATCTCAAAACAAACTCTACTTGGTTAAAATTGCTACTGAAAATGGAACTATCAAGCAGTATTCCACAATCTGAAAACAAGCAAATAAGCATGTATGCTGGTATGTTTGGGGGTTTGGCCTCTTCCTATACTGATTCCATTTTTGTGTCTTTTGGTCTCTGGCCCTCTCACAATTTCTGTCGAACCAATCCTGTTTTCTGGCCCTGCCTCTCTGTTTTGGTATGAATGTTTGTGTGCCTTCCTCGTATATTTTTAAAAATTTGGCATACATTTCATTTACTTCCCTGCTAGCAACAATTCTGTCCAATTACACTCATTAAAAAAGTTTCGAAGTTCCCCATAGTGACCTCTCCTTAAATCGAGTTTATCAACTGTTTCAATATCCCCATTTTCTTCTAGATGATATCTTAAAGCATAATCAATGTCTAACAGGACGTGATCACTCTTTCCCAAGGGAGGAACGTTCTGGATGTCAAATATCTCTTCATCTTTCCTGGTGAATACTAGATCCAGTAATGACGGTACATCTCCTTCCCTCATTCTTGTGGCCTGCTCTATGTGTTGATACAAGAATGTCTCCAGAATGAGGTTCACAAATCTGCATGTCCAAAAGTCCTCCGTTCTTGCTTCATAGGCCTCCCAGTCTATTGCTTTAAAGTTGAAGTCCCCCAGTATCAACAGTCGTGATTTATCTTTATCTGCTTGTACAATAATATCTCTCATGACCATTATGAGGCCCTCTCGTTTGTCATCCAGTTCTTCCTTTGTCCATGTGTTGCTTGCTGGTGGGCTGTAGGCATTTACAATTATCAGCTTATCATCCTGATTCCAGATCTACAATGCCATTATGTCAATATCTCGAGGGTTTTCAAATATAAACTCTTACCTTCAGGTGTTTTTTCACCAGTACAGCCACTCCTCCTCCCTTCCTAGTTTTCCTGTCACGTCTCCAAACTGAATAGCCTCTTGGGAATATGACTTCATTTATTATATTTCCTTCAAGTTTCGTCTCTGATAATGCGACAATATCTGGGACCCTAAGCTGGATTATATCTTGCAACTCCAAAGTTTTTGACCTCACTCCATCTATGTTGGTATATACAATTTTCAGGAACATGTTCCCTTTTACTTTGCTCTGTGTGGAGGCCACTCTTTGCTGCCTTTTGACTCAGCATACCAACTTAGTGGATAGTTATGGTGTACAAAAATGTAGATATTTATATATATAATGTGTGTGTATATAGTGTAATAACACAAAAGGAGTATTGGGGTAAGCTATTTTGGTGAGGGAGGTGGCGACATCTGCATGACTTGTTATGCTGTGTAAGGGTGGCCATTATGCTCTTTGGGCAATATACCAGCTTAGTTGAACAGTTATGGTGAACAAAACATATAGGTACTTATACATAATGTGTGTATATAGTGTAATAACACCAAAACAGTATACATGAGGGAGGAATATTAGTGCATCTCGCCTTGAACCATTGAGGGGAGGGAGAGGGGGAGCATCAGTTGTGTGTGGTCACCTGTTACTGTTTGCCGTCACCATACAAGATTAGTGGTTCGCTATGGTGAACACAAATGTAGATACTTTTATATAGCATGCATATACAGTACAACCTCGATTCAATGAATCTCTGGCTAGTTCGCACACTTTTCAGGCCGGATTTACATACCCGGTTTGACGATCAATGGTTTGTCGAAGCGGGGGTTGTTCGGATTTGCTTACAATGTCGAGACAGAGTTCACAGACTGGTGAAAAACTTACCCGCTCTATCAAAGATTACAATTAATAATTCCCTCATATGATAAGTTCGATCACACAAGTGGACCACACAAGTGGACCACACAAGTGGACTACACAAGTGGACCTCACAAGTGGTCCACAAGTGGTCCACAAGCGGTCCACAAGCTTACGCTGTTGGGACAGAGTTCACAGTGGTGGAAAACTTTCCCATTTCATCACAGGTTACAATTAATAATTCCTTCATATGACAAGTTGGATCACACAAGTGGACTACACATGTGGACCACACAAGTGGAGCACAAGCTTGCGATGTTGGGACAGAGTTCACAGAGTGGTGGAAAACTTTATCATTCTATCACAGATTACTATCAGTAATTCCTTCATAAGACAAGTTGGATCACACAAGTGGACCACACAATAAGTGAACCATATGAACCAAACACCAGCTTGAATGATCCACACAAGTGAACGACTGAGTTTCCATGATTTTTGTTCACTGATTTGTGGCACACGTATCTTTGTAAATTAATTTAAAAGCTGAAGCGTGATTAGCTAGCTCAATGTGGTAAAATCTCCTTTAAACATTTTCTGTGACGAAACAAGATGAGTGAGGGTGGACAGATAAGATAATACTGTACTGTAAACCTCACTTAGTTTTCCTTTGTTTGTGTCGTCATAGTTTAGTGACTCATGACTTTGAAAGTTTCAGATTAATAAATCATTTCTAAAACCAGTGTTTTAATAGCTTTTTATGATCCTAATTAAACTAAACTAAATAAAAGCGAAAATATACTGTAATATGATAGTATTTGAGAAATTATTTGTTATTGGAACAACAACTCCAGCACGAATGGACGGGGCTAATCCTTATACATACAGCACCATGCATGTTTCATTCGATTTTGTCGCCACGCTTTAGTGACCTGCAACCTCGAAATAATAAAATTAATAAATCAGTTCTAAAATAAGTTTTTTACATCTCTTATTATCCTAACAATGTTACTAAACTAAATATATAACCCAAAAATATATAATTTGAAGTAAATCCAATATTTGAGAGAAATTGATGTTACTGGATTTGATTTAAACACCAGCCTACTGCAGGGTGTATAGACCTAGTCTGCATTCATACAGTAGGCACCCAGTGGTGTTAGCTTTGTCTGCGAGTGACGTGTTTGTCCGCCGGTGGAAGAATAACCGTAATAACCCACCAGCTTTTATAAACACCTAAGGATGATGAAAGATATTAGTCTCAAGGACATGACAAAAGGAAGGAAACAAACGAAAATGAATCAATATTTTTCACTAACTAGAAACAGAAAATCAACCAACACAGCCGTACCCAGCACGAGCAGAGCCATACCCAGCACCAGCACAGCCGTACCCAGTACCAGCACAGCCATACCCAGCACCAGCACAGCCATACCCAGCACCAGCACAGCCATACCCAGCACCAGCACAGCCATACCCAGCACCAGCACAGCTGTACCTAGCACCAGCACAGCCGTACCCAGCACCAGTACAACAGCAGCCAGCACCAGCTCAGAAGCAGCTGAAGCCAACACAGCAGCAGCGAGCACCAGCAAAGCTGATGCAAATGTCTAAAAACATCGTATGTGGAGTGAACAGTTAGAACAAGTGTTAAATTTAAGTGTGTATGTAGTGTTAAAATTGAAATTGCAGTAATTTTAGTGTACAATAGTTTTCATAAACTGTATTGTAGTACCCAACATACAGCCGAACTACTTCATCAACACAGTGCTAACGGCATAATAAACTACAGTACGTATTTACTGTATAGCATTCGCAACTCCATGAGAATTCAAGATGGACGTAACTCCAACAATAACGTAAATAACAAATGTAACACAGTATTTTTTAGTAGAGTAGTAATATATTGGTACAGTATATAATATGATAATGCATTTTTATTGTGTACAAGAAAAAAAAGACACTGACGCAAATGCCTCCTGAAGGTCACCTCTTGCAACGAATCCAGTGCACTGGGGTTGGTTCCATATAGTGCGTTGAATTGAGGTTGTACTGTATAATGTAATAACTGCAAAAGAAGTGTTGGGAGAAGCCATTATTGTGAGGGAGGTGGCATCATCTTCCTGACTTGTCATGCTGTGTAAGGGTGGCCACTATGCTCTTTGTGCACTATGCCAGCTTAGATGAACAGTTGTGGTGAACAAAACATATAGATAATTATATATAACCACTGTATGTAGTGAATAAAAGCAAAAATAGTATGGTGGGAGGAGGATGGCTGGTGAGTGAGGAGTTCTTGAGAGTTCTTGAGGGAGGGAGTGGTAGCAAGTGGCTGGCTGTCCACTCCTCGTTGCTTTTTGACTCACAATATCAACTTAGTGGTTCATTATGGTGAACAAAACATGCAGATACTGTACTTATATATAACCTGTGTTTATAGTGTAATAACTGCAAAATTATTTGTTTATTGTTTTATGAACATAATTGAAAAAATAATATGCACCATAATTTTGAGTACGGCGATGATTCACACATTTTATTATATAAATATATGACACTACACACTATTGAATAATATTACTGCAAAAAACTAAGACAAAATCAATCAGAGACATTGAAATAATTAGGTAATTATATCTTTGTGACAACATCCGCTTGACAGCTGTGGCGGAGCAGAAGTCCTCCGACGCTTGCTGAGTCAGCCCCTCTTTTTTGCCAGACTTCCCTGCCCTATTGTGGCGGGGAAGTTAATATGCCACTTACAATTTTTTTAATATTTTTCCCGTGATCAGGGAACACAAATTAACAGGTTTATAAGAACGAAAATAAAATTTTGATTTTTTTTTATATTTTTCTGTGGGTGTCAAAGGCCAAATAGCCCTTAGCAGCTTATAGGTTAATTAATCTCTCGGTAGTTTGGGCCAACCGGTTAGCAGTATCTTGCCTGGGCTTCCCTTAGCAGTCAACCTAAGGGGCCTGGAAAACCCTGTTGGGGTTCATTGGTCCAATGGATGCATCCTCTAGGTCCCATCTCTCCTTGTGCAAGTTTGAAGGTTGCTCTGTCTCCTTGTCTCAGGGTGACTTTCATCGGTTTTGTCTCCTTCATGCTGCCTGTTGGGTTGGTGACACCTTTGACCAGGAGTCCTGCGAGTGGTGTTCCTTGCTGGTTCTCCAATTCACCCAGTCCACTGATACTGATAATAGGGTGCAGGCAGCATTAGCGTTGCTGCAATTTCGGTTGCTGCAACATGCTACGTTGGTTGCCTGTCTGGAAGCGCCGCGGCTGCCCTGCTTTGTTATAGTGACCCAGACTTGGGGGTGTTAGTCGCTTCAACTTTGGTTTCGTCTGCGCCCCTTCATCCTTTCCCTGCTGTAGTTTGTCCTACTCCCTTCCTCCCACCTCTGCTTCTGGCTCCCAAACGTCTGAGGGTTTTGGAGTCGGGGCAGGGTCTAGATGGTGGTGAGACTCGGTCGGTCTCGGGGGGCTACCCCTTCCGGTTCGGCGATGGAGACATTCGAGCCTGCTCCTCCAACCAAGGCTTCAGGGTCTGACCAGCGGACCCCCTTTTCCCAGCTTTTCTGGCTGACTTTGCCTTTTCCTTAGGGGCAGAGGGTTTGGAGGACAGCTCTGCCCTGGGTCCTGGTGTTGAGGATCCCGTGACTGGGGAGGAGTTAACTTGGGGTGCTTGGGCCACATTTGACCCCGCTTAAGTGTTGGTACCTTCGGCACAGGGCTGCTTGTTGCAGGGGGAGGCGTTTTCTTACCTCCTTTCCCTGTACGAATTTGATATGGGTTCAGTGTCTCCCCCGGATTTGGTTCCGGGTTCCCTTGGGTTCTTCGATCCGGAGGTTTTCGACTTCCCGTATCCTGCCTTAGGTGGTTCGGGAGGCCATTGCAGTGTACTGTACCTCTTGTGTGACATGGATTTTGCCTAGATAATGGATCCTCTCTTCGTTTGAGCTCTATTCTACTTTTCCTTATTGGGTGCATTACGAGGTATCTGAGTCATCCTGGTTAGCAGACTGTCCTTTTTTTTCGTTGGTTCAGCACCTGAACAACGTCTGCTGTGGCTTACCTTGAAGGGGTGGTGGTGGGGGGGGGGCGAGTTGAAGCACCTCAATGTGTGCTTGTTCGCCCCAGTTCTTCCTAAGTATATTGGTCAGGTGCAGCTCCATGCGCAGGTTCCCATCCTTTCGGCGTCCCTGGTGGCTGAGGATGTGTGTTTTACATTTCTTTTTCCTGCTCAAGCTGTTTTTGGACTGACTTGAGGAGGATGTGGAGGCACTGGAGACCGGGCCTGTGTCTGGCACACTTGCCTCAGCGGCTCGGGTGTCGGCTGCCTTGTTGTAGTTGTATGCGCCGATTCTGAGGCTGTGGTGTCTGTTCTTCCCGCCTTGCATGCTGGCAGGCTGTGCTCACTCATTCTATGGAATCGGCATGGGCCCTGGCTCTTAGATTTTCGTCATCTTTTTGTCCGATGCTGTTTGCGGATTCTGCAATTATGCAGTATCTGCAAGCAGCTTCTAACTCACCCTATGTCAGACTTGTTGTTTCTGCAGAGGGGGGGGGGGGTGCCATGGTGGTCGTTCCCGGAGGGGTTGTGCCAGGATTCAGGGTTCCTCCAGTTGTGGTGGGCCATGATGCCAGCTTCAGAGCTGACGGCGATTGGTTGGCATCCAATGTCCTGGTGGATGGCCTGTCCCGGTTAATTCCCCTTTCCACAGAATGCATGGTTGACACCGACTTGTTCATTTAGCTCCGCCGGATGTACGGCCGCCTGGAGGTGGACCTATTCGCGTCGGCAGTGTCGAGGCATCTGGTATATGTGGCGCCCTTTCCCAACTGCGAGACCTTTGGGTTTCATGCCTTTTGGCAGAATTGGTCGAGGTGGGGTTACCTATACCTCTTCCTGTCGGTTCAGCTGTTGCTTTGGGTTCTGGCTCGTTTGGAGACTTACCAGGGGAGTGTAGTCCTGTTGGCCCCCTTGGTGGCCGGCCCAGCCTTGGTTTCTGGCGCTGCTTGCTCAGTGTCCGAACCTGGGGACTTTTCCGTGGCTCCGTCTTTTTCAGCAGGTCAGTCCAGTCCGGGACATGGTTGGTTCGATCTTCTCCGATCTTCGCAGCTGGTCTTTCTGACGTAGGTTTATCATCATTTGTATGGTGATCAGGTGGCTTCTTTCATGGTGTCCCACCTGCGAGTTTCATCTTGGCGGCAGTATGAAGTCTTCCGGCAGTCCTTTCATTACTTTTTGTCTCTTCATGGGATGTCTTCGGTTTTGGGTCGGGTTGTCTTGTCCTTTCTCTCTTGGTTAATTCAGGACTGTCATCTTATGCTGAATACTGTTGCCTCATATCGTGCGCCACTAGCAGAGCCCCTCTTGTTTCCGTTCGGGATGGATGTTACTTTCGCTCCGTTTCGCAAGCTGTCTCGTGTGTTGTTTCACCTCCTGCCTGCTTATGTGCCGCCTGAGCTGTCCTGGTAGTTGGACCAGCTGTTCTCTCTTCTCTCTCCACCTAGGTTTGTGGTGGGTCCTTCAGTTCGGGATTGTTTTGACAAGGCTCTTTTTCTTGTTGGCATTAGCCTCTGGGGGTCGGGTCGGGGAGTTTCTTAATCTCCGCCGCCGCAGGGGTTTTTGCTCTTTTGGTGGTGGGTTTGTTCGTTTGCAATTGTCTCCTCCTTTTCTGGCGAAGAACTATTCATGTAATTTTAGTTACGTTATTATTTATTTTGCATAGTCTGGAAAATTAATGTATTTTAAGTTTTATTATCACATGTGCTGGTAATGTTAAATAACTTACCTGATAGAGACATGACAGAGTCTAACTCACTGTGCAATATGTCTAGGACTTTGTATGCTCCTTCTTCTCCTCCACATGCTAGACCCCACAGTAGAGGTCGACCAAGAAATACCTATGTAAGATCAATGAAAGCATTAATGTCTACATAGTGTTTGTTACCGTTTGCTTTTAAACAATAATGAAATGGTAGCATATTTTTTTATATATATATATTTTTTTTTTTTTAATAAAGAGCCTAACACATACACAGAAGAGCTTCAAATACTAGTTTGGTTGTTAAATACTGTACAGTACTGCACTTATATGTGAAGCAGTTGACTCTTCTTGTTTGTACTGAGAAGAAATAATATACAGTATAGAAAAGTAGAAGGGAAGATGCATGGTTGATCAGAAAGGCACACCTCATATGGTATACAGTATCTATATCTTGGCTTATTCTTGGAAACTTTTCTTTTATTGGCTTACTTTATGTAGAAACTAACCTGGAAGTTTCAGCAACTTTCAGCTATTGACTGTTTGTGGATGATATTGTTGAAATTTGGGTATCCTTGAAGGACTGAATTTTTATGGTGGAGTGAAAACTATCTGATAAACTTGCAGAGATAAGGAAAAAAAATCCAAGCCTTTTTTCAGTTTTCTTCACATTGGGAGGGAAGCTGGGTGTATTTGACCAAAGAACACTTGTGTGGTTGCAAGTGCTTGAAACCAGAGCTGGGGCATGCTGGAACTTTTTAAAGATACAGTAGTAGATGATCACCAGTGGTATGTATTTATGAGTGGGTGTCAACTTAAAACCAACTATAAAAAAAATACGAGCTTGCTCAAATTGCTTCAGTCTGATGAAAATGCTGCTTAGAATCCTTTTGTGATGATGGGAGCAGTTTGAGGACAAGACATTTTGTGTTTTGTGTCCCCTCTAATTCTTGTACATGCTATCATTCTCACAGGCTATTCAGTATCCTCCAAGAAATCACAAATCTTGGCAATAAAAAAGTTGGCGGGTTCAAGAAGTACCAGACCAATCAAGTTGTAATGGATTTGTGAGCCAGTGAACCACTAAGCAGTTCTGGTGGGTGTGGTAATGAAATTCAAGGTCAGCATAGTACCATGCACACTACCACACTACTGTGTCACCAGATGATACAAAATGTGTCACGATATACTGCACACATCACTAATTCTAGGCGCAATGTTGCTATTATTATCAGCAATCTGATAACAAGAGTGTGTAATTTAATAAATTTCTATAATACAATGTGTTGACCATAAGTATACAGTACTCAAAAATGTTGTGTTCATATTAGAGACAATAATTATTATACTCATAAGATAATAAAGCAGTAGTTTTATAAATAAGTGTTAAAACAGTAATAAAACAGCCACCAGAAACAAGTGATGTCCCCTTCCCCCAGATACAAGTGATTCCCCCCCAGATACAAGTGACCCCCCTCCCCCAAGATCAAGCACCAATCACCAACGGATCCCCTCCAAACTGCTGACTACAGTATATGCCGGCGTACAAGTTGATCCGGTGCATAGACTGGCCCCAAAAATTTAGACGACTCCCCTCCCCCCCAAAAAAGCAGCATCATTTCCCCTGCCCTACTGTATGGAATTAAAAAAACTATTGTATCTCATAAATATACACCATCTTAACAAATATTTACTGCCTATGGCAGGTGGTGTCAGTGGTTGTCAGGGAAGGTAGGTGGTGTCGGTGATTAGTGGCTGCTCTTTGCGCTTTCCTGCAGGTCACCAGCTCTGCCTCAGTGGATGCCTTGGTAGTTGACCCTGTTTCTTTGGTCCCCAATTCCAAGGCTTGTATTTCCCAGATTGTCTGCAGTATCATAAAATATAGCCAGCCTATGGTCTATACTTCGCCCCATGATGTTTGCTAGTACACTGCATTGGTTGCAGTCTCCTGTCCTGATATTTGAGCTCAGGGATTTTGGCATTATAATGAGCTCCGGCAGCCTGGTAATTGGTTAATATCCCTGATTCTTGTTGGTCACATCTCCTTGCCTGGATTATCTTGTTCGTCCTACTGCAAGCTGCCTCTCTTTCATGCCAAGTCTCATTTTTGTTTCTGTGGTCAGCTTCAGGGAACCACTGAGGAGCTCCCTCCAGAAACTCAACATTCACTAATACAGTACTATGTATAATGCTTCTTTCTGAATAAGCACTGATGGCTCCCTGACTCATTCACTCCCTACCGGGTTAGTTGGTTCATTGATCTGCTGTTCATCAGCTCCAGAACTGGCTGTATGCAACAACTGGGCTACCTAGTGGTGGGATTTGGTACTATTGATTTCTCACTAATTTTGAATGGTTCTCTTATGTGTGATTCATTTACAGAGTTTGGCATTGTCAAGGCCTTGATCTTTGTTTAACCTTCCATTGTCTGTAAAGCTTTGCTGATCTTCTGGAGGCTTTCCTGGTGTAGTGGTGAATTGTTACTTGCTCTATATGCCTCTGTGAGGAGGCCAGGCTTCAGTTCTGGTTCCTAGTAGGCCAAACAGGACTTCTGTGTCTGATGTTGCCCAATTGCATGGAACAATTTCAGCAAGATAGCTTCAGGGAGCCACCATGGTCATCCAGAAAGAGTAATTTCATTACAGTCAGTGCTGGGTTTATGTAATGGGGCAGTTTATTTTGGAGTTATGAAACTGAAAATATATGTTAATGTTTATAGTTAATTGGGTTGGCAGCCTTGTGACATTCTGGCAGTTTAATTGTAAGGATTCCTGGGAAAGGGGAAAATATGGAGGCCACTGTTCTTGTTCTATAAAAATTTCACTAGGAAAATTACACTTCAACATAAGAAAATATGACACAAGCTATCTATAAATATGTAGTCAAAATATAAATTTGCTTACCATTTGTGCCCCAAGAGCCAAGGCCTTGAAAATTTCTGTTCCTTGAGAGAATCCTCCATCAATGTAGACTTCGCACTGACCATTGACAGCTTTCACTATATCTGGTAGCACTTCAATCTGATAAAGAAGTGCAGCTTTACCAATAAGAAATTTATATGTACAGTACTGTGCTGTAATATTATGGCGAGTGTCTTCAAGTTTTGGTAACTTTTGTTGCTAAACATTTTAATTTTGCACTTTTGATAATTATTAAAATGTGTACTGTAACTTTTATACATTTTTCCATTTTTTTTTAGCTGGTAGATTTAATATCAAGAATATAAAATAGACAAAGCTATCCATGTTTTCTATTCTTGAGGTGGCAATGACCTCACTGTTATAGTGGCAGAGGTAACTTAAAAAGAAAAAGAGAAAAATTTAAGTACTATATATAGTCAATGTTGGATTTCATAATTTATGTGCAATATGTTTTCTACTGAAGTAAAAGGGTACCTCGGTTTAAGAGTTTAATCTGTTCCTGGAGATGGCTCGTAACCCGAAAACTAGTAAACCGAAGCTAATTTCCCCATAAGAAATAATGGGAAATGAATTAATTCGTTCCTGACTACCCAAAAACTTCACTTCAAACTAAATTTTATACCTAATTCATCGAAATCTACACTACAAAAGTATGTTCAAGTTATCAAGTTATTACTTACTCCCTTGCTGATGACTGCAGTTGGCATATGGAAGATGGTGAGAAGGGGGGAGGATGAGAGGTGTTACTGTTTGGAAGGGTTTGTAAGCCCTTCCATTATAACATCAGGCAGTGAGGACCTCTCAGGAGTGCATTCTCTGGCACGTTTTGCCTGCATACCACTAGGACCTGCTTGTGGCTCACTGCTTGCTTGTCTTACTAAGAATCTGTTCAAAGACACTTGTTTTTCCCTACATTGTAACACTTGTCTGTAGTAAGACATCACATTGTCATTTAAAAGGTCAATGCAACGGCTTGCTACAGCTTTATCTGGGTGAGTTTTTTCAACAAAACTTTGCAGTTCTTCCCATACTTCACACATTTTCTTAACAAGGAAAGGACATCCTCTACTACATCTACTCACAACTATTTTCTTAGGTTGAATCTTACCACTGGCTTTCTTGGGACCCATTGTGAGATATATGATAACAACTTTTATTCTCAAATGGTCAAATATCAAACAAAACACTGTACGTAAATCCTGGTGAAGCATTCAGGCTTCACCAGGATAGTCACTGGGCACGAGGCACTAGTAAACTGAGGGGCTATCGCCATGCTACCATGCGCTAGGTTGGCCTGTATGCGTATCAACACGCTCGTATCCCGATGCAAATTTTCCGAGCAAACCCTGTTAGTAACCTGAAAAACTCTTAACCAGGGACGCTCGTAATTTGAGGTACCACTGTACTTATTTTGTTCCTCCAACTTTGCATTTGGAGAAATTGCAAAGGGAATTTCTGGGGAATGCTCTTGTGGGGAATACTGTACTGTGTCAAAGGCAGTACAATAGTCCAAAAATATGCATTTCTGGGGGGAGCCCCGTTGGCTCCACAGGCCAGGCCGATATGTAACTATTAGCTTTCTGCATCAGTCAATGTGTACGGAGTTCTTGCCTACTGGGTATCATGAGCCAGAACCTGGCCCCTTCAGAGAGACACGAGGAGCAATGGCTTATAGAAATCCCCGTGTGATTGGAAGCATTCTATGTCTGCCATCGACCAGATCTGGTACCCAGAATGATAGGTGTCCCAAAACAAACCCAATTCTGGTGAAAATATCGAAAGCCAAACGAGCGGACAGAACTCCCCAAATGAAAACTAGCAACAAGCATGCTTGTCATGAACAGCTAGAAAATGCAAACCTGAACTAGTGCCTGGGAAAAAATAAGCTCAGTAGCACAAGAAATACGTTCAAACTGCATACCCTAAGAAAAAAAGAGGAAGAGATGCAGATTGGAACGGGGAACGTTGTTCCCTCTATAGGCGAAGAAAACGAATCGCGGAACAACTTGAGTCACACCCTATCTAAAGAACGGCAAAGAAGGTTAGGTACAGAAATAGAAACAATTGAATTCAAGCTTCAAGAATCATACAAAACCCAGGAGAGGCAAAGAGAGCAAAAGGCCATCAATGAAATAGAGAGAAATCCGAAATATTTTTTCTCCTACGCAAAATCAAGATAAAAAAACACATCTAGTATCGGGCCCCTGCGAAAAGAAGATAAAGCTTTCACTGATAACAACAGTGAAATGAGTGAAATACTGAGGAATCAGTACGACTCAGTTTTCAGCGAGCCAATACACACACTGAAGATCGATAACCCCAATGAATTTTTCATGGATATGATACTAACATCAAATCATATATCAGATGTCACCCTATCCCTACTGGATTTTGAAGAAGCCATAGACAGTATGCCTATGCACTCTGCACCAGGCCCTGATTCTTGGAACTATATATTCATCAAGAACTGTAAAAAGGACTACTATCGCAGGCCCTTCACATTCTTTGGAGACAAAGCCTTGATACTGGCATTATCCATGACATATTAAAAACAGCAGAGATAACACCACTTCATAAAGGAGAAAATAAGGGAGAGGCAAAAAATTACAGACCGATAGCACTAACATCGCACATCATAAAAATCTTTGAGTGCTAAGAAGTTAGATCATAAAATACACGGAATCACAGCATCTCCATAACCCCGGATAACATGGTTTCAGGACAGAGTGCTCTTGCCTATCACAGTTGTTGGACCACTATGACATGGCACTAGATGCCATGGAAGACAAACAAAAAGCTGATGTAATTTACACAGATTTTGCAAAAGCCTTTGACAAATGTGACCATGGTGTTATTTCACATAAAATGTGTTCAAAAGGAATTACTGGAAAAATAGACAGATGGATCTACAATTTCCTGACTAATAGAACCCAATGTGTAATAGTCAACAAAATAAAATCCGGACCATCAACCGTAAAGAGCTCAGTCCCCCAGGGTACTGTGCTTGCTCCAGTACTTTTTCTCATCCTCATATCGGACATAGACAAGGACACAACTTATAGTACTGTATCATCCTTTGCAGATGACACTAGGATTTTTATGGGAGTAGACAACATAGAGGACACAGCAAACCTCCAATCAGATGTCAATCAGGTCTTTCTGTGGGCTACAGAAAATAATATGGTGTTTAACGAAGATAAGTTTCAGCTCATGCGCTACAGAAAAAATAAAAATATAAAAATAGAAACCACGTACAAAACTCGGTCAAATCATAATATAGAACGGAAAGGCAATGTAAAGGATTTGGGTGTACTGATGTTGGAAAGAACATTTAAAGAACACAATAAAGTAGCCGTCACAACTGCAAGAAAAATGACAGGTTGGATAACAAGAACCTTTCACACTAGAGATCCTATACTGATGATACTTTTCAAGACGCTAGTGCTCTCAAGAGTGGAATACTGCTGCACAATGACAGCCCCTTTCAAAGCTGGAGAAATTGCTGACCTGGAGAGCATGCAGAAATCCTTTACTGCTAGAATCCACTCGGTAAAACATCTAAACTAGTGGGACCGACTAAAGAGCATAAATCTGTATTCCCTTGAGCGCAGGCGGGAGAGAGACATAATAATTTACACATGGGAAATAGCAGAGGGGCTGGTTCCAAACCTGCACACAGAAATAACAGCACATAAGAACAGAAGACATGGCAGGATGTGCAGAATACCCCCATTGAAGAGCAGAGGTGCAACAGGTACTCTGAGAGAGAACTCTATCAACATCAGAGGCCCGAGACTGTTCAACACGCTTCCGCTACACATAAAGGGCATAACTGGCCGACTCCTCACAGTGTTCAAGAGAGAACTTGGCAAACACCTTCAAAGGATATCTGATCAACCAGGCTGTGACTCATACGTCAGGCTGCGAGCAGCCACGTCCAACAGCCTAGTTGACCAGTCCAGCAACGAGGAGGCCTGGTCGACGATCGGGCCGCGGGGTCGCTGAGCCCCGGAATCACCTCAAGGTAACCTCAAGGTCATCACCTTGCCCACGCCGTTGTCTGCGCAACCCCGCTCTCCCCGGGAGGGGGGAAGGGAGAGCCCCAGACCCTCGCACCAGCAATCCATCTTTCAGTTCTTGGCTGATGTGGTCCTGGCAGGTTGTGTGCCTCTGGCTCCGGATTTTGTTTGTTTCTGTGCCTTGTGGTGTGGGCTGTCTCTACTGGTGATGTGCAAGCCAGGAGTAATACTCTTCGGTACTCGGGATGCATGCACCTAGGGTTTGCTTCCCTACGTGCCCTCTAAGTACTGCTCTTGGGGCTTGGGACCAGCTTCCACAAGTCACCTTGGGATCTACCTCCGCTATGTCTTTTACTGCTCAGTACTTGGCTGCCCTTGGAGTCAGCTGGGGTTTTTGTTTGCCGTTGTTTGCCTCTGGGTAGGAGGTAGTTTTCGTCACTAGTAGGGGCACAGGGTACAGCGCAGCTAGTCATTATCTTTCATAGCGGCTGGTTCTGTTCCCCTTGGGCACGTTGTCCTCTTGAGGGGTTTTCTTTTTCTGTTTGTTTTTGTTACCTGGTGGGGGTCTGCCTCTTGGTTGGCAGTGCCCTATTGTTATTCGGTGGTCCTCCACTAAGCCCCCATGAGTGTACACGTCCCGGGTGTGCAGCTTGTAGCAGTTTGTTTGGTAGTTTTGTGGCGCTGGTTAACTGTACCCTGCCTGCGCTTTCTTTAGTGTGTTTCCGAGGCTACGGGCCGCTTCAGCTTATGTTCGGTATTGATGTTACTTCTGCTCTGTTCCGCAAGCTGTCTCTTGTGTCGTTTCACCTCTGGCCTGCTCTTACGCCACCTGAGCTGTCCTGGTCTTTGGACCGGGTGCTCTCTTTTCTCTCTTCTCTACGGTTTGTTGTGGTCCCTTCGGATCAGGATGGTTTTTTTAAGGATCTTTTTCCTGTTAGCAATGGCCTCTCGTGGTCGGGTCGGGGAGCTTCATGCTCTCCTCCAGCGCAGAGGTTTCTGCTCTTATGGTCCGGGTGTTAGGTTTGCTCGGTGGTAGCCATATTTGTTTCTGGCGAAGAATGAGTCTGCTGCTTTCTGGACGGGTCCTTGAGTTGTTGATGCTTGGTTGGTCAGGTCGGGGTGCATTATGTATTGTGTCTGGTTGGGGCTTTCTGCCGTTATTTGCACGCCACGGCTTCGGTGGCTGGGGATGCACTTTGGGATGATCCGGTTTTCGTTCTTCCTTGTTCCCGTGTACGGATCTCCCAGGTCGTCAGCAGGGTTATTAGGTCTAGCCAGCCTGCAGTCTATCCTCGTGCCCACGATGTTTGTAAGTTTGCTGCTTTGGCTGCCGTCTTTGGCAACATGTCTTGGATTTACATTCGGACACAGGGTTTTGGAGGTCGAACGGGGTCCTGGCCGCTCACTACCTTGTCAATGTCCCTGTACCTAGACAATACCTGCTTTGTATTGGGTCGGCTGTTGCAACCACTTGTCTTGATCTAGCGTTGAGGAGTGAGGACCAACCACCTCCTGGGTAAGTCCATGTTTTTCCTTGTCTTTGGCTAGTTAGCATCATGGAGCTGATAGGGCTCCTCCCAAAAAAAACCAGCATTGAATGTAATGAAATGCCATTTTCTGGGTGAGGCCAGGAGGCACCCCCTCCCTTCCTCCGGTCGGTAGTGTTTTTTACGTGTTTATGACGTCCAGCCTATGAACTGAAGGGTGGATCACCAGCACGAGGGTCTGGGGCTCCCCCTTCCCCCTCCCAGGGAGGGTGGGTGTTGCGCAGACAACGGCACGGCAACATGATGACATCATGCTAGTTGGTAGTTTTAATTTGGAGAGTTTTGTCCCCTCATTCGGTTTTCAGTAGCAATATTTTCACCAGAATAGGGGTTTATTTTGGGGCGCCTACCTTTTTGCATGCCATACCCGGTCGATGGCAGACATAGAATGCTTCAAACCACACAGGGAGGTTTCTATAGGCCATTGCTCCTCGTGTCTCTCTGAGAGGGTCCACGTTCTGGCTCGGGGTCTCCTGTCGACAAGAATTCCATGCACATTGATGCCTTAAAGCTAAAATAAATAAATATATAGCTCCTGGGAGCCTCTGGGTCTCACCCAGAAAATGACGTTTTATTACATTCAATGCTTGTTTTTTTGCTACCGTTCTCTTTGTTGATCTATATTTCTCGGTCATAAAATTGTCATATATGTGAGACAAGATTTACCATCTTTAAACCCAGGCTGGTGTTATTAATTAATGCTCTTTTGTCCAGATGTTCTACCAGCTTCTTTGTAATGATGAATCTCATTACCTTGCATGGTGACCAAATCACACACCAGAAGATGAAAAGACAATGACTTTTCGATCCGTCCTGATCCATTATCAGGTCAATTGTGACTTCTTTTTATATGCTCCGTGGGGGTTTTCATTATATTAACATGTAGTACATGGGTTAAAATAAATATCAGAATTACAAAAAATTGCCTAAAAGCAAATTTTTAGTTTTCTAGGCATCTGGATATACCAGTTGGTCCAGATAATTAAGGAATGTACTGACCGTTGGTGACACTCCATCAACTTGGCGTGCTCCATGATTTGATACCCATATTCCAGCTGCACCAACCTTCAGTCCTAGAACAGCATCTTCAGCTGTCAGGATTCCTTTGAGCACAATAGGCAGGTTTGTGATTCTGCAATGCAGTATGGGGGATATTTTACCAAAAGAGGCTGATCTGAAGTTCGAATAAGAATTCGTGTTTACTGCATAAGTTTTTTTTTTCCCAAACATGGTTTCATAGTGCTTATATATTCAATCACAATGTTTAAGGTGCAGTATAATAATACAGTATGTTATATAGCCTACCTTTTAAGCCATGTAACATCATCCCAGGTTAGGGAAGGATCAAAAAGAGACTTTACATATTCATTAATTCCAGAACCTCCTGCAGATGTGTTCACCAGGTTAGATTTGTCATCATCCGTCTCGAAATTTGCCATCCTGGGAATATTTAAATAATTTAATGTACTTTAACCCCTGCACTGCACAAAGCGCCTTTAGGCGCTCTGAGAGTTGTGCTATTTTTTTTTAATTAGGCTATATTTTAATGTTTTTTAATGTTTTCATTACTCTTTGTGTTTTTAAATGAAAATAGTTGAGTTTGGAAACATTTTGACATTCAGTTTACCTGAATATTTATGTAAACAACAAGAATATGTTCTTGACAATTGCCCCAAGAAGTTTTTCCCAAAACCAGGTGTGCAGTGCAGGGGTTAAATACTACAGTATTGTATATCAATTATGAGATGACACTGAAGACATTTGACATTACTCTGTATTTATAGATTATGAATAATTATAAAACATGGGAATACTGCATATAAAATTAAAAGTTTAAATTATGGGTTATGAAAATGTGGGTTAATAATTTACTGTGCAACATAAGGCGAGCATAATCATGTATAGTATGCAACTGTACAGGCAACTGTTTTATATCTGGGAAAGTTAAAATTCATTACTCCACTTGTATATGAAAGGTTTAGCTGATGATATTGTAGAATTAGACTTAATTTTTTGTTTTGAGGAAGATTTTGTGATTCCACAGTGGAGTTAGAAAGAGATGCTGAAGTGTCAGTGTCACTTAAATATTAAGAATAATGCTAATGAGAAAATCAATTGGAGCACTGAGGTGACTCATCCAGTGATCAGGGTATTCCCAGCTGCCAACCTTACCCCTGTATCATGACATAGTAAAAGTTATACAGCCTAGTATAACTTACATCATGTCATGGTACAAGGGTAAAGTACTCAACTGAGGTACCCTGATCACTGGTTTAAATCACCTCAATGCTCCAATCGATTTTCTCATTGATATATATATCACATTACTGTGATTTCTTTGTGTGAATAAGACTAATGCAACAGTATAAATATGGATATATGATTGAGGTGATCAGTAGAAATAACTAGAGTAAAATAAAAAAAGCAGGACAAAGATGCTCAACCACTAATGTAATACTGTACCTTGGAAATGTAGTAGATTTTGCAAAACTGCTTTGTTAACAAGTGTAAAGTCATTAATCTCTTCCACCACTACTTTTACAATAGGTGTACAAAATATACTTTACTTGAGATGTGGAGGAAGTGTAAACTTGTTCCTAATATCTGCCCGTCGAAGGCCAAACTGTGGGGCATCAACTGTTAGAACCAGCGCCGAAAAACCAGCAGTTTCAGCCCTTCGCACAAGATTAGTTGTTATTTTCCTGGTGAAAAATGATTTCATTAGATGCTGATTTTTTTCTGGTAGGGCGTCCTACCTGAAAAACTTTTACGTATCATGTCACACCAGGCACTTGAGTCAGAATATCACCAACCGAAGACCAGAGGCCAAAACCTGGTCCATTCACAGTGGTGCAGCAAGCAGTACGATACAGTACTTGATCACTAAACCAAGAGAAATAGCAACCAGAATGGTAGGATGACCAAAAACACAATGACTGCAAAGAAATATTACCAACCCTAACTACAAGAAAAATAGTTGTTAGGTCATTACTCATGCTAATTGCACACTCCCAAAATCAGGTGACAGCCCCAGGAGCCTGCTGCCTACGTCAACACATCAGTCATATGCCTGTTGTGGACATGTCCACATGTACTCTTTGTGTCTCCATCTCCTGTCTTGTCCCAATTTTTCCAGATAAGTGTTGACTGGCCGGGAGCCGGTCGGCCGAGCGGACAGCACGCTGGCTTGTGATCCTGTGGTCCCGGGTTCGATCCCGGGCGCCGGCGAGAAACAATGGGCAGAGTTTTTCACCCTATGCCCCTGTTACCTAGCAGTAAAATAGGTACCTGGGTGTTAGTCAGCTGTCACGGACTGCTTCTTCGGGGTGGAGGCCTGGTCGAAGACCGGGCCGCTGGGACACTAAAGCCCCGAAATCATCTCAAGATAACCATCCTTTGGACTCCATCCTGCAGGGACCTGTGCTTGTGTTTATTCAATTCCTTAGTGTTTGCCTTATGTGCATGTTTTGTAAACCACACTGTTGAGTGAATCTTGAGTCTTTGTTAGCCTTGTGCGGTGGGTTGCCTTTCCTAGGTGTTTGCTGGCATTGATCTCTGCTAGGTTCAGGTGTTCATTCCTGAGAGGTTATATTCATCTTGAGGGGTTCTACCCCTGGGTAGAACCTTACAGATGTTAAGGGTTTTTGACACCTGCAAGGCTCTGGGGTTTGGGTAGACAGGGATCTTTTTGTTTGAGGGGTGTGCAAGAGTTTATGTGCTCGACTTGCTGTGCATATCTTACACCCTCATCAGCTGCTTATCCCATAGCTGGGCTTGGTGTGTACTGGTGAGCATCTCCTGTGCCTGGTGGACTGTTTTGGTTTACTCATGCTAACATTGGGAAGCCCCCGTGGGTCTCTGGTGTGGTTCGGCTGAGGTTGTGCTCACTGTAATTACCTAAGTGTAGTTACAGGATGAGAGCTACGCTCGTGGTGTCTCGTTTTCCCAGCACTCTTTATCATATATCGCTTTGAAACTACTGACGGTTTTGGCCTCCTCCACCTTCTCACCTAATTTGTTCCAACCGTCTACCACTCTGTTTGCAAAAGTAAATTTTCTTATATTTCTTTAGCATCTTTGTTTAGTTTAAATCTATGACCTCATGTTTTTGAAGTACCAGGTCTCAGGAAATCTTCCCTATCAATTTTATCAATTCCTGTTATTATTTTGAACGTAGTGATCATATCTCTTTTTCTTCTATCTTCTAGTTTTGGCATATTTAATGCCTCTAACCTCTCTTTGTAGCTCTTGCCCTTTAGTTCTGGGAACCATTTAGTTGCATGTCTTTGCACCTTTTCCAGTTTGTTGTTGGTATGGGTACCATACAACTGCTGCATATTCCAGCTTTGGTCTTAACAAAAGTCGTGAACTATTTCTTTAGTAATTTCGCCATCCATGTATTTAAAGCAATTCTGAAGTTTGAAAGTGTAGTATAGGCTCCTTGCACAATGTTCTTTATGTGGTCCTCAGGTGATAGTTTTCTATTTAGAACCACCTCTAGATCTCTTTCTTTATCAGAAATCTTTAAAGTTTTTTCACATAATTTATAGGTTGTGTGGGGTCTATGTTCTCCTATTCCACATTCCATAACATGGCATTTATTAACATTAAATTCCATTTGCCTAGTTGTGCTCTATATACTTATTTTGTCCAGGTCTTCTTGAAGGGCATTACAATCATCTAAGTTACTTATCCTTCCTATTATCTTAGCATCATCAGCAAACATGTTCATATAATTCTGTATTCCATCTGGTAGATCGTTTATGTAGACAATGAACATTACCGGTGCAAGAACTGAACCCTGTGGTACTCCGCTTGTGACATTTCTCCAGTCCGATACACTTCCTCGTATTACTGCTCTTATTTTTCTATCAGTCAGAAAATTTTTCATCCATGTTAGAAGCTTACCTGTCATGTGTTCCAGTTTCCAGAACAACCTCTTATGTGGAACTCTGTCGAAAGCCTTTTTTAGGTCCAGATAGATGCAGTCAATTCAACCATCCCTTTTCTGTAAAATCACTGTGACTCGATCATAGAAACTGAGTAAATTTGATACACAGGATCTTCCAGATCGAAAACCATACTGTCTGTCTGATATTATATAATTTCTCTCCAGGTGTTCTACCCACTTAGTTTTAATTATTTTTTCCATTATTTATACTATTACACTTGTCAATGATACAGGTCTATAATTGAAGGGGTCTTCCCTGCTGCCACTTTTGTAGATTGGAACTATGTTAGCCTTTTTCCACACATCTGCTATGACTCCTATACACAGGGATGTCTGAAAAATCAGCTGAAGTGGTATGCTGAGCTCAGGTGCACATTCTCTCAGAACCCATGGTGAAACTCCATCTGGACCTACTGCTTTATTTTTTCTTAGCTCGATGAGCATTTGTTTCACTTCGTCTCTAGACACCTATGTGCTGTATGGTGTGTAGACTATTCCCACTCAATATTTCCATTCCTCAATATTCCTATTCCTCAAACCCCACACTGTGTGTGGGGTTTGAGGAATGTACTCTACCTCAATTTTGGTTCATGCTGATGATCATTTCTCTCTGCCTCTACCATGCTACCTTTTGATTAAAGAACAGCATTCACCCTGAGGCCTGCAATGTGTGTCCTCATGTGTCTGTTTTGGCTGAGCCCCCTTTCCAGGAATGGGGCTTATTAGGGAGCTGTTATTTTGTGGGAACTTTGTGTTTTTGCAATGCAGTGTGGAAGTGGATGAAGAGAGTTACCTTTGTGTTTTGTATTTTTTTATGCAGAGTTTGAGTTGTTGGTTATGGTCCATGTTTGTTTCTCTGTCCCTCTTCTCCAAGATTATCTGTTGTAGTTCTCCAGGCTTCCTGCCCTCCCAACCCCCTCCTTTGCTATGTGAATCGAGAGATCTATAGGTTTAAAAATTGAGGGTTAGTGTTTCTCATTGGGTATTGGGGCTGTTTTTGGGGGTACCCCTTCCTTATCAGCGATGTAGGCATTAAAACCAGTGCTTCTTGCTAGGGATCTGCTGCCTTCTGCTGTTTTGGGAAGAAACTGTTCTGTCTCCCAAGGTGTCTGGCATGGAACCTGGCTTTGACCTAAGTCATTGTTCTCTAGTGGGGCTTCAGGAGCTGGTGGGGTGCCCTGAGGAGGATCCACAGGTGCCCTTCAGCCTTGCCTGATCATTGGCACCCTCTGAGGAGGCTTTTTGCTCCACAAGGATAATCACACATATTCTCTCAGTGTTTGAGCTTAATTCCTCGGCTGACCCTCCCGATGTACATTTCCAAATCCTGTTAGTCTCTTTAGATTCATCCTTTTCATGGAGGTTTCTGATGTCCAGTCTTTATTTGTCTGTGGTGTGAGTGGATTTGGTTTGGTTTTTCAGGATCAGGACCTCACTTTTCTGATGGATGAGCCTCTTCTGAGTTTGGTTCTGCCTCAACTTCTTGGTTGAGGTATGAGGTTCTTTCCTCTTTTTGGCTTGCAACTTATACAATATAGCACTTGTAGGCACTTATTTATAGAAAACACCAAACTATTATGACTATATAACACTTGGAAGGATTCAGGATAAGGATTTGGATGGGACAGTGGGAAGGAATGGTGTCCAACTATTTGGACAATCGGGGATTAAATGGTGACCTATATGGAGGAGACCTTCGGGAAAAACAACCCTTTGTTGTCTTTGGGGGCCTGGCATGGCAGCTTGTGCTGTACCTGAATTTTCGAGTGATGTGAGGTAGGGGGTGGGTTTCAGGTGTTTTTGGTCAGCTCTATATTCTAGGCATTTAATGCTTATCTGATTGCTCTGGCCCTGCCCTTGGATCTGGGCATGTGACAACTCTAGTTTGCCTCTGTGGCTTTCTGGGCCCCTGATCATGGAGGATTACAGGACTTGGTTCTATCTGGATGTAAGATTGGAACAGATAGGTGCAGATTGGATGTACTGGTCTCGGTGCAAGGGTTTGTGGGTCTGTTACCTGTAGCAGGGGCTTTGGAGGCAGTGCCTCCAAATGCTCACCCTTCTCATTTGGGAAGCAGTAGCTCTTTCCCTTTCCCCCCCTTCTCTGTTTTGTTGTTCCCTAAGATGGCTGTCCCTTCAGGTTTTGGCTACAGCCATCTTCTTTCAGCCCTTTCAGTTGCATTTTGTTACAGCAGGATTCTGTTTCTATTGTCTGGGATTGTCTTACAATTTTGGGCCTCTCCTGTCAGGGTAAGCATTCGAAGATGCCAGTTTTTTGCTCCATAGCTCTATCCTCTGCTCTTCCTGCTTGGTGGCATTCACATTTCTCATGTAAGGGAAAAGGTCAGTGGGTGCTTCACTGGCTCTTTTCATAGTTTACCCTTTGTTGGCAATGAGCTGGGGACATCTGGATAATTTTTCCAGCTCTTGAACCCACAATGATTGAGCGTTCAGGGTGGTTCCCCAGGATCTGATGTTGGGGTGATCTTCAGCATCTGGGGTCCAGGGCTAGCCATCTATCCTGCAACTTTGTTCGGTCATTGCGACTTGGTTGAATGCCGGGGTGATCAAGTTAATCCAGGCACTACGGTGGGTGTCCGTTCTGTTCCCTGCTCCCAAGAGAGATTCGATGGATCTGAGGCACATTCTCAACCTCTTGGGTCCGAATCACTTCATTCCTTATCAAACCTTTCACTTGGCCACATTGTCAGATTGGTCTCATTTTGCAGGCACCCAGTGTTTGGTTCTTAGTTAAAGGGAAGTTAAAGGGGTGTCAGAAGTTCTCTTCAGGGTGCAGTCTCTTCATGTGTACATGCTGTCCATAAGTTTGTGACTCCCACATTCATTACTAATATGGCCTGGGTGCAAATTTGGGCTAGACTTGCATTGTGTTGGGTTAGTGGACCTGGCACTTATTACCTTCAAGGTTCCTTGCTGCTCCTTCCCTCTTTCCCGGGTAAGCCCCATTTTTGTTGTTTCCATGGTGAGTTAGCTCGAGAAGTCTTCTTGCAGAAAATCCAGCTTTGAAACTCTCTGATGGGTCTTTTCAATGGCTTCCCATTCCCACCTGTCCCTCATTTCAATGGGTATTGTGGTTGCATTTGTGTTGCACATGTCTGATGGGGGCAACTGGCAGAGGTTCCAAGTTGCTATGGCTGTTATTTGGTGGTGGGAGAGTAGCTAGTGTTTGGGTCTGCACTGTGAGTGCAATTACCTAAGTGTAGTTACAGGATGAGAGAGATGCTTGTGGTGTCTTCCCAATACTCAATGTCATATGATGCTTTAAAACTTCTGATTGTTTAGGCCTCCACCACCTCCTAACTTCTAAAATCATCTACCATTCTTTGCAAAAGTGATCTTTCTAATGTTTTTTTTTTGCAGCATTTTATGGAGGTTTTTGGCATCTAGCTTCAAATACACACAACTCGCACTAATGTGAGAAATATATATATAAAACTTGGACTGGATTCAGTAGAAGCCTCCAGATTTCCTGTGGATTTGGTGGAATCCTGTTGTATAACTTACACCATGTCGGGATACAAGGGTAAGGAACACAGCTGGGAGTTCCTTGATCACTGGTTTTGAGTCACCTCATTGCTCCAATTGATTTCTCGTTCCTCAGCCCGTCCTCATAAACTAAGGCCAAAGTCCATTTCATGCACTCACCAAACCCCCCTGTTTATGAATGAAAACGGTTTACACACGACTCTCAACTGATGACGTCCAAACACTTCCAGAACAATTGCTTCACTGACAACTTTTGTACTTGCCACAACGCTGTAAATGCTTCAGCCACATACTAGAAATACAAATAATTGCCAACAGAACCTAAACACCTAACCTAACCAATGCCTAAATATGCACAATATGCTAAGTTAAAATAATAATAATTTTTATTTGAGAAAATTCATATTTTGAACGAACAGCATGTTAAAATTTGTGAATACGTCTTTGGGGTCGACCGCTGATGGAATGGACTGGGTCTGAGGATAGGTTGCATTGCAATATATATCACATTAGTATGATTTCTTTATGTACTTGAAGCTGGAGTGTATGGTTGATGAATTTCTTTACCTACACTAGAGTGCATGGGGTTATTTGTAAAACTTGGACTGGTTTCAGAAGAAGTGTCTAGAATTATGTGGGTTCGATGAAATCCCAAGTTGTATTACTAATACCAAGTTGTGGTACAGGGGTAAGATGTGCAGCTAGGAGTTCCTTGATAGCTAGTTCAAGTCACCTCATTACGTACTTCAATTTATTTTCTCATTACATTCAATGCTAGATTTTCAATGAATTACAGTACAGTATATTAATACAGCATACACTTTCATAGAAATGCAGTGAATAGCCTATTCAAAACACAGAAAAATATATAAACTCAAGCACACTTTATTAATATATTGTTCAATGCTGTATTTACTTTATTATACAAAATAAATATTTTGTAATGGTGGATCCACCTGTCCTTTACTAGCTAAATCCCATAGTTAAAAATAATTGTTCACAAATTCTGCATTTTTAATACTGTTCTTTAATTAATACCTTAAATAATAACTATTTCAAGTTTAAATACTTGTAATGAGACTCAGTACTGTATATGCATGAAGCATTTATTTATAATTTTGTTTAATTTGCAATCTGCTAGGGGATTATGAAAATTTTAAGACAGGTTGGCATCTCTTCACAAGTGATTGACTTCATGTGTATTATGATTGTGTGTGTAATATGGCTTAGATTGGATACATGGAATAATGTGTTTAGTAACATTATGTAGTCTTTTATTTAGGAGATTTTCTTTAGTAAAAGTATTTTTTTCAAATATTGTATAGAGAATGAATTATCCAAGGGTTGTACCTGTCCTTGTATATATACAGTTGAAAAAATCGCAGAGTATCAGGTGCCTTTTCAGCTATCTCTTCAATGCTGGTAGTTGCAATAGTACTCAGGGTGAAGGCTGTTCCAATTTTTCCAGCAGCTGTTATAACAGAAAAAAGAATTATGATACAAAATTAAGTTCCTGTCAAACAAATCCAAAAAATACAGTACTGTACTATACATAATGTTCTTTCCTCATGAACAATATGATGAAAGGTTAGAGATATTATGAAATACTATGGTACTTGTCCATTCATTAAATTATTCACAAAATATAGGATAATGGATAAAGTCATTAGTATATTGTATTCTAAAAGTACAGTACTATTCCACTGGTACTTTATTATGTTCATTGAAAGTAAAGTCTTCTGACATGATTACTTCAGAATCTTTTGCATTGCTTTTTCTTTCAATAGTGTGGTTTGCCTGTTTTTTATGTGGTTTCCATTTGATATTTTAGTTTTTTTCTGTAGTGCAGTAGCTGGAACGTAGCTTCATTAACCACTACACTGTGTCACTATTAACCCTTTAACTGCACAATGCGCCTGCAGGCCCACATCTGGGGTGCACAACACGCCTCTGGGTATTTGTATTTTTCACGTTCCACTCAAAACTCCCGCGGCTACATGGGGTTCACACCAACTTCCTCAGGGCTCTTGTAAACAGACGCCATCTTTAAAAAAAAAATTGTGGTCCACATTCCTGGGTGTGAGAGCCTCGGTAGTGAGTGAGCAACCAAGGCCGGTGCACACAGCATGAGCTCACAGCACTGCTGTTCAGCTTGTGACAACAGCATCGCCTAATAATGTCAAAAATATATATTACTTATTGGCTTGTGTTATTTAGCCATGATAATATTACAGAAGAGCCTGAGTGTGATAATGACTGTGTACAATGTTCAAATATTAGTGATTCAGTGCTGTTCACGATGTTCACAGCACTAGCCACAGTACCACAGCATTATTTCGTCCATCTAGGAATCTTCAAACGACTTCTTGGGTTCCTTTTCAAAATAAACTTGTGGTCAGTTATGTATTTACAGGATTTAGTGACCAGTATTGTGTTGACAGCAGGATTGTGGTGATAATAAGCACTGTGCGTAGTATTGTGGGAGGAGGAATTGTAGTGAGGGAGCGAGGGAGAGAATCGAGGTAACCTTACTGTGTGGGGCAGCCACTTGTTTTGCTCATCATACTAGCTTAGTGGTTCGCTATGGTGAACACATTTGTACATGGGTATATACAATGTGTGTATATAGTGTAATAACACCAACAGGAGTATGTTGGGAGAAGCTATTTTTGTGAGGGAGGTGACGTAATTGTAGCATCGTCTGATGGCTGCTGTGTGATTTCTTATGCAGTGTATGGTGGCCACTGTAAAGTTTGGACACAATACTGGCTTACTTGCATAGTTCTGGTGAATAAAACATGTAGATAGGTATACATAACATGTGTAAATAGTGTAATACAAACAATAACAGTATGGTGGGAGGAGCAATGTTGGAGAGTAAAATGTTGGAGGAGTGAGGGTGTGGCAGCTGACACTCGCGGAGTTCTGAGTGGGTTGATGGTGAATGTATCCATCCATCCAGTCCCCCCTCACCATCCATCCAAGCCCCTCACCATCTATCCATCCAGTCCCTTCACCATCCATACCTGCTTGGTACCTGCTTGATGGGGTTCTGGTTGTTTTTCTACTTTCCAAGCCAGGCTTGACTTGTGAGAGTTTGGTCCACCAGGCTGTTGCTTGGAGCGGCCCTCAGGCCCACATACCCATCACAGTCCAGTTAGTCTGGCACTCCTTGAAGAAAACAATCTAGTTTCCTCTTGAAGATGTCCACGGTTGTTCCTGCAATATTTCTGATGCTCGCTGGTAGGACGTTGAACAACCGTGGACCTCTGATGTTCATACAGTGTTCTCTGCTTATGCCCATGGCACCTCTACTCTTCACTGGTTCTATTCTGCATTTTCTTCCATGTCGTTCACTCCAGTATGTTATTTTACTGTGCAGATTTGGGACCTGTCCCTCCAGTATTTTCCATGTGTATATTATTTGGTATCTCTCTCGTCTCCTTTCTAGTGAGTACATTTGAAGAGCTTTGAGACGATCCCAATAATTTAGGTGCTTTATCTCATCTATGCGTGCTGTATATGTTCTCTGTATTCCCTCTATTTCAGCAATCTCTCCTGCTCTGAAGGGGGAAGTGAGTACTGAGCAGTACTCAAGACCGGACAACACAAGTGATTTGAAGAGTACAACCATTGTGATGGGATCTCTGGACTTGAAGGTTCTCGTAATCCATCCTATCATTTTTCTGGCTGATGCAATACTTGCTTGGTTATGCTCTCTAAATGTTAGGTCGTCGGACATCATTATTCCCAAATCCTTGACATGCTGTTTTCCTACTATGGGCAGATTCGATTGTGTTTTATACCCTGTATTATGTTTAAGATCCTCATTTTTGCCATATCTGAATACCTGGAATTTATCACCATTAAACATAATGTAATGTTATTTTCTGCTGCCCAATCGAAAACTTTGTTAATATCTGTTTGTAGTTTATCAATGTCTTCAGCAGAGGTAATTTTCATGCTGATTTTTGTATCATCTGCAAAGGATGACACGAAGCTGTGACTTGTGTTTTTGTCTAAATCTGATATGAGAATAAGGAGCAGCAGTGGTGCAAGGACTGTACCTTGAGGTACAGAGCTTTTAACTGCGCTCGGACTCGATTTTACTTGATTGACTGTTACTCTGTGTTCTGTTTGACAGGAAATTGAGTATCCAGCGTCCTACTTTACCAGTTATACCCATTGACCTCATTTTGTGTGCAATCACTTCATGGTCACATTTGTCGAATGCCTTTGCAAAATCTGTGTATACGACATTATGTTTTTCTTCTAATGCCTCAGTGATTTTGTCATAGTGGTCAAGTAGCTGTGAGAGGCATGTTTTTCCTGCTCTAAATCCATGTTGGCCTGGATTGTGGAGGTTATGGTTTCCATGAATCTAGTGACCTGACTCCTGATCACTCTCAAATACTTTTATTATGTGGGACGTTAGTGCAACTGGTCTATAATTCTTTGCCAATGTTTTGCTACCACCCTTGTGTAGAGGGGCAATGTCTGCTGCTTTAAGCGCATCTGGTATCTCCCCTGTGTCCAAGCTCTTCCTCCACACTATACTGAGTGCCTGTGCTACTGGCACTTTGCATTTCTTTATAAATATTGAATTCCATGAGTCTGGACCCGGGGCTGAGTGCATGGGCATATTGTCAATTTCTCTTTCAAAATCTGCTACGCTCGTGTTGATATCAGTTATATTTACAGGTGTTTGAATATTATTCATAAAGAAAATGTCAGAATCTTCCACTTTCATGCTGTTTATCGGAGTGCTAAACATGTCCTCATACTGCTTTTCTGAGGGGAGCCCCATCGGCTCCCTAGAGCTTTAACAGGCTGATATGCTAATGTCAGACTTTGGCATCAGTCATGTGTGTGGATTTCTAGGGCCTACCGGGGACCACGGCCAGAACCTGGCCCCCTCAGAGAGGCAAGGGGAGCAATGGCCTATAGAAACCCCCATGTGGTTGGAAGCATTCTATGCCATCAACCGGGTCAAGCATCCAGAAAGGTAAGCATTCCAAACCAAACCCCTATTCTGGTAAAAATTGCTACCAAAAGCCGAGCTAGTGGATAGAACTCCCCCAACAGGAAAAACAAGCAAACTAGTATGACGTCTCACGTCACCACGCCGCTGTCTGCGCAGCTCCCCCCTCCCCGGGAAGGGGAAGGGGGGAGCCCCAGACCTCTTACGCTGGCTGTCCACCCATCAGTTCTTCGGCTGATGCTATAGGCACCGGTTGTGTGCTCTGGCTCCAATAGTAAGCTGGGAGTGAGTCTCCAGTACTCGGGCTGCATGTGCCTAGGGTTCCCTTCCCTAGGTGCCTACCCCCCCCCCCCCCCCCGTGTCTCCTACACTCCCGGTGTCTCCTACACTCCCGGTGTCTCCTACACCCCCCGTGTCTCCTACCCCCCCACCCCCCCACCCCCCCGTATCTCCTAACCCCCAGTGTCTCCTACACCCCCCGTGTCCTTGGGGCTTGGGGCCACCTGACACAAGTTCCTTGGGTTCTGCCCCCTGCTAGGCCGTTTACTGCATGGCTTTCGGTCGCTCTTTGTGTGGTTATTAAGTCTAGCCAGCCTGCGGTTTATCCTTGTGCCCACAATGTTTGTAAGTTTGCTGCTTTGGCTGCTGTCTTTAGCAACATATCTTGGGTTAACAGTCGGGCGTGGGGGTTTTGGAGGTCGAACGGGGTCCTGGCTGCTTGCTACCTTGTCAATGTTCCTGAACCTAGTAGGGCCTGCGTTGCATTGGGTTGGCAGTTGCAGCCAGTTGTCTCGACTTCACGTTGAGGAGTGAGGACTGACCGCCTCCCGAGTAAGTCCCTGTTTTTGCTTGTCTTTGGGTTGTTAGCTCCGTGTTGTCGACTGTTCTTCCCCCAGAAAATCAACGTAGAATGTAATGAAACGCTATTTTCTGGGTGAGCCTTGGAGGCTCACCGGTATCCCTACCTCCCTCCGGTCAGCGGTGTTTTTTGCGTGTTTTAACATCCAGCCTAAGAACTGGTGGTTGGATCACCGGTGTGCGAGTTTGGGACTCTCCCTCCCAGGGAGGGGAGGGTGGGTTTGCACAGAGAGCGGCGGGGAAACGTGATGTCATGCTAGTTTGCTAATTTTCGTTTGGGAAGTTCTGTCCACTCATTCGGCTTTCGGTAGCAATATTTTCACCAGAATAGGGGGTTTGTTTTGGAACCCCTACCTTTCTGGGTGTCAAATCTAGTCGATGGCAGACATACTAGTATAATGCTCTCAATCACATGGGGGTTTCTATAGGCTCCTTGCGCCTATCTGAGGGGGCCAGGCTCTAGCTCGTGGCCCCCCAGTAGGCAAGAACTCCATGCACAATGATTGATGCCAGAAAGTTATACATATCCATTCAGTCTGGATAGCACCAAAGAGCCTCCAGGACTCGCAAAGAAAATGCCGTTTCATTACATTCAACACTGATTTTTTATTATAATATAAGATGTGTTCTACTCAACTATGGCTCCCAGATTATTGCAAAAAGGCCCCAATGCTCTAGAGAATTAATTTGCTAACATTTTGACACCAAATTTATAGTTATAACCCAACAAATAACTTAGAAAATTAAAAATTACTACAGTATAAATATTTTTTACATGGATGAGTGGTCCATGAGTGGGCCTTGGGAGCCCAGAATGTTTGCAATCAGGAACGCGCAGAGGCCAGACTGCTAAAGTGTTAATTAAGGAAAATAAAGTAAATGAATTTTGTTTACTTAATGACTGAATTTGAAAGGAAAGGTTGGATTTTGTAGTAAAAAAATCACCATACCTCGTGCATTGGCAATTTCCCCATCTGGATGAGCCATTCTTTGCATAGCTGTTGGTGCTATACCATATGGGACACTGACTTTGTGCCCTAATATTGTAGTAGCAAGGTTTCTGCAGGACACATCTCTTAAGAGCCTTGGCCGAATATACCACCTATAAAAAAAACAGCATTAAATGTAATGAAAAACCTCTTTTTGAATGAGCCCTAGTGGCTCCCTGAAGCTATCTTGCTGAGAAGGCAAGATAGGTCATATCAGCAATGTAGTTGTCTGGCCTGCTGGGAACCAGTGCTAGAACCTGCCCCATCCCCCCCTATCCCCCACAGGTCAGAGGCACAGAGTATGTGACACTGCCACCCCACCGGAAAAGCATCCAATAAGTCAGAGATCCAGTACAGACCACTGCTGTACAAAGATACTGAAGTCTCATAACTGCCAAATAAATTCACCAAATACTGTAATGTGAAACAAATGATCGAATCTCTGGAAACAAGCATGAATACCTTGGCACTATTAAAGGTAGTGTTTTAAAGGTAAAGGTAAGTGCAAACTTAGCACTTGTGAAGTCACCAGTGGAGTCCCACAGGGGTCTGTACTCAGTCCTATTCTGTTTCTGATATACATAAACGATCTCCCGGAGGGTATAGACTCAGTGACGATATAGAATTGTCACTGGCAGGGGCGCGGGGTACTGCACAGCTAGTTTTCACCATTAACAGCGGCTGGCTCTGTGGTGCATTACCTGCAGGCGGCCTCGGCTAGCTGTCGGTTTATGTCTGAGTTGTTGTTGCTCCAGGGAGCTCGGGGGGGGGGGGGGGGTCTAACTGGAAGGGTCGTGCCAGGGCTAGGGGGTCTTTTTGTCAGGGTAGGCCTCTGGTGCCGGATTCGGGGCTGGCGATGCCTTCAGTTCCGGCTGTTGCTGGTCGCTGTGGGGTCCGCCCTGTTCGCCGCTTTGGTTCTTGCAAGGCACGTCAGCCATTTCGCAATTCGTCCCATTGACGGGACGATGTGGGGGGGGGGGGCTCGCCCAGTTTGCTCATGCCTGGTCCCACGATTCGTGGTCATTTCGTGCAGCCTGTGGTGGCGTTGGGTGGATCCTCCTCCCTCGGGGGTGGGGGGGGGCTGGAGGGGCAAAACTCTTCTCCTGCGCTCTGTTGGGTCATCTTGGAGTGGGTTCGCTTGGGCGTGGTCGAAACGACGGCATCCCTCAGGTGGGCATCCCGCCTGTTTCCGGTCCCAAAATGGGACTGCGTGGACCTCCGGTTCATTCTGGACTTGTCCCACCTGAACCCATGAGTTTTGTGCCCCTCCTTGAGGATGACTACGCTATCCCAGGTCCGTCTTCTCTTAGAGCAGGGCACTTGGATGGTGTCCCTGGACCTCAAGGACGCGTTTTGTCACGTCCCGGTTCATCCAGGGTTCAGAGACTGGCTCAGTTTTGTTGTGGGGCGTCAAGGTTACCACTTTCATTGTCTTCTCTTCTGGTTGAATCTGGCACCTCGTGTTTTCACACGCCTTACTGATTTTCCACCTTATTGACGTAACAATGCTGAACAGTTACAACATGTATCTTGTGAAAACAGGTAGAAAACCATATTTCCGTTCGTTTAGTTTTCAAGTTGTGAAACAGTTACTAGGTAAATTTGGCAAGGACACCCCTGGCATACAAAGACCCATTCGAGACCCAATATTGAACCATGCTCCTGCACCCAGGCTCGCTTACAGGGAGGCCTTTCTGGTACACCAAATCAAGAAATTACCACCAACTGGAGCTCATGCAGCAGGCCAGCGTCGGTGTGTTGTGTGTTCCAGTACCAAATTGAGGCCACAGAAACGTAAATTGGTGTTGACATGGTGTGAAGTGTGCAGTCCCTCTGTGCCATATCGACTGTTTCGCTCAGTATCACAGTCTCCAGGACTACTAAATGTGTAATTCTTTTGTAAATAAATGTACATATTAAGTTAATTTTAGTGTCTATATTGAAAAAAAAAACAAATTCATTGAATATTTCCTGTAAACTATACCATTTTCGTAGGCATACTTGTGACACTAATATGTGAGCGCTTAGTGAGTTTATACCAGTTTTATTATAATACAACGTCTAGTGGTAATTATTGGAACAATACTAGCAAAAAAATTAGTGTAAAATGTCCCAAGAATACTGTAAATAATTTTGCGAAAATAAATTTGTGGCAACTCGGGCCTCCTGAGCGGCCGTGAGTGACAGCTCACTGACGCATCACCCTTGAGTGCTCACGCTCTGTGACATCATCGGCCAACTTGTCGGCTCAATTACGTCATTGGTAAGTACAATAGAATTTTTTTACTGTTATTCCCGTGCTCGGGGGACACAAATTAACATATTTAGGAGACGAAAAAAAAATTTAGAATTTTTTTTTTCTTGCGCACAGGGGTGTAAATGTCCTCAGGACCCCTGAGCAGTGGAAGAGCTAGAGGGGGCCAGTTTCTGGCTCATGGTCCCCGATAGGAAGAACTCCATGTATTGACTGATGCCAGAAAGTCATACATATCCATTCAGCCTGGATAGCTCCGGGGAGCCTCTGGGACTCTCCCAGAAAATGGTGTTTCATTACATTCAATGCTGGTTTTTTGCATCTGCAAAAAATTATAGACCACTACCTAATAGCTCTAACATCACACATCATAAAAATTTCTGAAAAAGTTCTAAGAAGTAAGATCACAAAACATGTGGAACCAGTGTCTACATCACCCGGCAACATGGGTTCAGAACAGTGCACTCCTGCCTCTCTCATTATCTAGACCATTATGACTTGGCAGTAGATGAAATGGAAGACAAGCAAAAATGCTGATGATACACAGATTTCAAAAAAAGCTTATAGGAAATGTGACCATAGTGTTATTGCATACAAAATGCTCTCATATATCATGGATGGGCAGCTCCATGCACCAGCCTGTTGAACCATGTTATCACAAGTCGAGCCTGTTCCCAAGCTGGGATCGGGGAGTAGTAAAACTCCTGAAACCCCCTCTCTCCAGGTAGGCCTGGTTAAGAAGACCAACCAGAAGACCAGGCTGCAAGGAAGTTACTCCTCGAAATTATCGACAGGTATGTTAACAAAATTGGAATATGCAGCAGTTGGACTGTGCCCATATTTTAAGTAGCACATAAACAAACTGAAAAAGGTGTAAAGACATGCTACTAAATGGCTTCTGGAACTGAAAAACAAGAGTTACAAGGTGAGGCTAGAGGTGTTAAATTTGCCAATGCTGGAAAATAGTAATAGGAATCAACAAAATTGACAAAGAGGACTTCTTGAAAGCTGCAGCTTCAAGACATTAAAGACATTAATTCAAGATAGGTAAGCAAAAATGCTGAGAATATATTAGGAAGTTCTCTTTTGCAGATTGGCAGATGGTTGAAATGAGTTAAATGAGATGATGGTGGATGCCAAACTGTCTGTAGTTTCAAAGCATCATATAACATAGTACTGCGAAGATGGAACACCATAAGTGTACCTCTCTTCCTGTAACTACACCCACTGTACACCCTGGTGGTCTGCCCTCAAAAGTGTAAACTCTCGAAAACATCAAAGAGAGCTCTGGCAGTGCAGCGGCAGCATTAGGGAGCACACAGGAAAAGTTGGCCTTAGCACATGCAGCTCCAAATGCCCTATGAACCAGGTCAACACATCACAAACAAGAGTGAAAACACATTCATGAAGCTGAATAAAATAAGGAACAAAAAGAAGGAATTGATCCCCTCGGGACCAAGTCCAAGGATGGCCAGCACTTGGCTAGAAGCAGCTGGACCCATGTGGCTTGTTAACAATCCAGGAGCAACCCCACTTCTTCCCTTCCTAGTATTGATGAGCTCGTTCTGGTTTTGAGAGATTCGATCAGTTGTTTACATTGTGGGAATTCATTTGGCAGTTTCAAGGCTTGGGTCTCATTGAATGCAGCAATGGTCTGTTTTGGTTCACTGACTTCCTGGATGCTTACCTGGTGGGGTGGTGGAGTGTTACATACTCTCTGCGCCTCTGTAAGGGAACCAGGTTCTGTCTCTGGTCCCCGGTAGGCGACACAGAATTCTGCAACTGGTGTGACCTAGTACAGTAGTTGGGAGCCTTAAGGGGCTTCCTCAGAAGCTATCATCCATCAAGTTTTCATATCTTTCATTGTGATGTCATCTTAATAGGTTTCACCATTTAATTATAAGTTTGCTTTGAATCATGGATGGAAATTAAACACACCGATTAAATGCCTCTTTGTTTTCTCGAAGAGTAATTTCTTCCATGGCTCCAGACCGGTAGTAGTCAAGAGCATTTTGAGGCAAGATTCTGTATGCTTCTGTTTCATAGTCACTAACACACACCAAAGTCTTCATTTTTATTTTGGTGTGCTGCTGTAGCTGCAAGAAAAAAAATAGTATTATTGCCTAGTAACTTCAAGCATGAATTTGTGTATCATTTGCTTTTTCACCTTTGGTATGATCTAAAACTGTTGAAAGCATAATGTAAGCAGTTACAACATTTACACAGATTTGATAGTTGATTGCAATATTTTATGCATGCTTAAGAGCCATGTTTGCAACTTTACATTGAGAAAATATTTGGAGCAGTATGTAGAAATAAACTCGCATCCTGGGTTACCCCAGACACATGAATTATTAGCTAGGCCTTGATGAGCTTAAGGGTAGCACAACCTGAAGTCTACCTGAAGCGAGGGTTGAGCTTTGGCTCTTTGGTCCCACCTCTCAACTGTCAATCAACTGGTGTACAGATTCCTGAGCCTACTGGGCTCTATCATATCTACATTTGAAACTGTGTATGGAGTCAGCCTCCACCACATCACTTCCTAGTGCATTCCATTTATTAACTACTGACACTGAAAAAATTCTTTCTAACGTCTTTGTGGCTCATCTGGGTACTAAGTTTCCACCTGTGTCCCCTTGTTCGTGTCCCATGATGGTGATGAGAGGGGAGAGGCGAGGAGAGGTGTTACTGTATGGAAGGGGAGTCCCCTTACATTATCACATCAGGTAGTGATGTTTTCTCTGGGGTACTCTCTCTCCTACGTTTTGCCTGAATACCACTAGGACCTGGTTGTGGTTCACTTCTTGTTTGTCTCACTACAAATTTATCAAGAGACACTTGTTTTTTCCTTCGTTTTAACATTTGTCTGTAGTGATGCATCACAGTGTCATTGAACAGGTTAAGGCAATGGCCTACTGCAGCTTAATTTGGGTGAGTCATTTCAGCAAAGGTTTGTAATTCTTCCCATGCTGCACACATTTTCTTAATTGTTGAGGAAGGGACATTCTGTACTGGCACATCCTCCCCTGAAGAAATTTCCTCAGCTGCCTCTTCTTGCTGCTCCTTTTGAAGGGCTTGGAGTTCTTCTGTGTTCAGTTCTTCGTTGTGTTCTTCCACCAACTCCAAACCCAATTGCTGACCCAGAGAACAATTTCCTCAACAAGAGGCACTTCAGGTTCAGGCTCAAATCCCTCAAAGTCTCGTTCTGCAACACATTCAGGCCACAGTTTTCTCCAGCCAGAGATCATGGTTCTTACAGTCACTTTTTGCCAGGCTTTGTCAACAACTTTTAAAGCACTATAACTGTTTAAATGTTTTTTCCAGAACTCTTTGAGGGTGAGTTGTGTGGCATCCGTCATTTCGACACATCTCCGGAAAAGTGCCCTTTCATAAAGTTTCTTAAAATTGGCAATGATTTTCTGGTCCGTAGGCTGAAGTAGAGGAGTGGTGTTGGGAGGAAGGAACTTTATTGTAACAAAACTAAATTTCTCCATCAATGAATCCTCCAAGCCTGGAGGATGGGCAGGAGCATTGTCAAGGAGAAGCAGGGCCTTGAGTGGCAAACTGTTCTCCTGGAATTATTTTTTGATGGCAGGGCACATCACCTCATTCACCCACTCTGTAAAAAATTGCCTAGTCACCCATGCCTTTGCATTAGCCTTCCACATCACACACATTTTGTGTTTCTGCACATTATATTTTTTGAAACCCTTGGATTTTCGGAATGATACACAAGCAAAGGTTAAATTTTCAAATCGCCACTCGCATTACCACACAACACGAGAGTAAACCGATCTTTCATAGGCTTGTGTCCGGGTAATGACGTCTCCTCTTTGGTAATGTATGTTTTCTTTGGCAATCTTTTCCAGAATAGCCCTGTCTCATCACAATTAAACACTAACACTTGTTGTGGTAGGTATGCCTCACTCTGCACAAAATCTTTAAATTCGTCAATGAATCTTTCAACTGCTGGTTTGTCTGAGCTGGCAGCCTCCCCATGCCTCACAACACTATGAATGCCTCTTCTTTTTCTAAATTTCTCAAACCATCCCCTGCTCGCCCTAAACTCTTTTGCTTCTGCATCACTTGTTCCAGGGGTTTTCTTTAAAAGGTCTTCATGCAATTTTCTTGCCTTTTCACAAATGATGGCCTGCGAAATGCTATCACCTGCTAACTCCTTGTTGTGTATCCAAATTAATAATAACTGTTCAACATCCTCAAGTGTTTGTGTTCTATGTTTCGTGATTATTGATACGCCTTTTGCCACTTTAGCACTCGTAATGTCCTTTTTCTTAGCCAGTATGGTGGATATTGTTAACTGAGATTTGTTGTACTGCCTAGCTAGTTCAACAACCCGCACACCTTCTTCATATTTATGAATGATCTCTTGTTTCTGCTCTATGGTCATCCTTACATGTGTTTTCATATGTTGAATCTTACCACTGACTTTCCTGGGACTCATGGTGTGATATATAATAATTAATTTTATGTTCAAAAGGCAAATAACCCCCACAAAAGCGGAATTTCTTATAGGCGTGATCGTCACTAAGCGGGCAGCTGTAGTAAACTGAGGCAGGTCGGCCCGCGTGACCAGGAACCACGAGCTCGGTCGACTCGAACGTGTACCAACAAATATCGTTAGTCGACGACACCTTCATATGTCGAGTTGCATTTTTCGATCAAATTTACATCATAACTCGAAATTATCGTAAGTCGGGGCAATCGTAAGTCGAGGTGCCACTGTATATTTGTTCACAGGATCTTCTGTTCTAAAACTACACTTTCTCTTGTTTTATAATTTCTCTCCAGATGGTTTTAATTATTTTTCTAGTGTTTTGACTATCACACTTTTCAATGATATAGCTCTGTTAAAATTGTTGTAAATTGAAACTATATATGCCTTTTTCCATATATCTGCCAGGACTCGTGTACACAGAGATGCCTGATGAACTCAGACTGTGAATGTGATGGGCTGTTATTAAGAAATTTATCTGAATTTATGACAGCCACCATTTTTTTGTGGCCAGCTTAAGAGACCAGCTTAATCTTGTTATTCCAGTGATCAACTCATCCTCCTGTTTAAATAGTACCTATTGTGACAATTGTCAATAGTCACAAATTCATATGCACTTAACTTTTAGGTAGTAGTATACTGACAAATAAGGAATTCTTTTAAAATAAATGAAGCTAAAAACAAACTTCAATATTCCTAGGCCTAGTATAGTGCACACATGTACTATATTTGGCCTCAGATATCGTGTATTAGGCCTAGGAAGTTTAGGTTAGTTTAGTTGGTCAAAGCAACACAAAAAATAGTTTTCCATTTTATCCTACTTAATATTTCAGATTTATGTGAAGTACTACATTACACACAGAAATCACAATAGCGTGATGCATCAAATGCATGTTTATAATACTACCAAAACAGGAGGATGGGCTGCAGTGTTACATATTTGTTCAAGAATTAAAGATTCTTCCAGCACAATCTTCTCAAATTTGGAAAGATACTACTATACACCTTCTGCATCATCTGAGTGTCTATTTCTGTATACAGTACTGTACAGTACTAGCAAATGTTTCATACTATGGTAATGCTCAAAGTCGCATAGCCATCTATCAGTATACTCTACTACTACCATACCACCACTGCAACTCTACAAAAGGGGTGAGAAAATCTGGAGAGCAAAACTAGTGTACAACATGGACCAACACGGAGCTAACAAGATGAAGAATAGATAACCCACCAGTAACATAAGACCTAGTGTTTACCAAAAATGAGACAGATATTGAGGTGATTGGATGTGAGGTGCCCTAGGAGGCAGCAACCATTGTGTTTGATTACACTGTGCATCTGAAGATGGAGGTCAGACTAAGGAAAAAAGAGGAGGGTGAGAGAGAGATTTACAAAAAGACAAGATCCTATACTAAGAAAATACAATGGGAAAATGAATGAATTAGGAAGTGTGCAGGAAGTGCCACAGAACAGTTACTTCACTCAAAGAAAGTTGATGAGGAAAGCTAAGCAGACAGCTAGTTTAAGGCAATGGCAATGCAGGGAAGAGAAAGGCAGAAGAATAGCATGAAATTCTATTGAGAACTCAATGTGGAGGAAAATAGAAACAAAAGAATTACAGAAATGTGCTCACAAGTAAGAGAGCAGCAAAGGTTCAAATGATTCTAAAAAAAAAAAAACTGAATTGCATGGCTATCGAGTTTGGAGGAAAAAAAAAAACACTTGACAAAGCTAGACACAACCAATATCACCATGACTGCTGAAGGAGGCTGCAGTATTACTATGTCATCCAGTTTCTATGTTTTTAAATTAAATGCTGAAGACTTAACAAACATGGACATCTTCAAGAAAAACTGAATAGTTTTTTTTTTCAAGAAGTGCTGGACCAACCAGGCTGTGGTAGATATGTGGACCTACAGGCTGTTCCAAGCAATAACCTGTTGGACCAAGCTCTCACAAGTCAAATCTGCCTTTGGGCTGGGCTTCGGGTGCAGAAGAACTCCCAGAACGCCATCCAGGTAAAATCCGTGTACAAGATGGTAGAACTCTTGGGAATCTACAGAAATGTAAATGCAGTCCCAATATTTAAGAAAGGGAACCACCCATTATCACCACCCACCTCTCATTTTCACCCCCAGGTAAACGTTGGTTTAGAGTGGGAAGGTCCTATATTTAGCAGTTACTCAACCACTGTGACAAAATCATTGAAGCATTAGAAGAAAAGAAAAATGCAAATGTTGTAAACATGGGCTTTGCAAATGCATTTCATAAGTGTGATCATGGATTTTCAAATTTCTGCCAGACAGACAGCAAAGAGTAACTGTCACTTTAATTATAATTAGTTCAAATGCAGAGAAAAGCTCTATCCCAGGGTACAGTCCTTACACAACTGCTTTATCTCATTCTCCTATCAGATATGGATACTATCCTAACACATTGTTAATTGCTGTATGTTTAGTATCAATCCTGGTACTGTATTTGAAAAACTTCAACACCCACATGTGAAACATATGAACCAAGTATTGAACCAAGCATATTCTGGTGGAATGTTAGAACTTTATCTTATGTACAATCTTGTTAATACATAATATAACAGTAAAAGTATAAAATCAACAATATATGATAATACTGTATAGTAATACAAATTGTAAATTTACAAATTTATAACAAAATTTATAAAAAAAAATTGGTGTTGTGTAACCTATGTCCCAGCTCATGGCAAAACCCCCAAACTACTCTCAACAACAGATTATTGGATGTGATTTTATTACCTGTTAAACATCTAGTGTTTTAGTCAAGTGTGTGTGTTCTGTATCTATTTATATCATACATTATGAGAGAAAAGCAAGCATTGCCTGTGCACTAGTGGAGCATATAGGTCAAAATACAGTACCTGGTTGCTATGTACCCAACAGCTTGTTGTTGTGTGACACAGCTCAGTACACTGGCTCATAGTCATTCATGAGAGCAGCTTTCTAAATTGTAACAATTTTGTCTGATGAAACTAAAAAGTTTATTTGTAATTGCTATTGCTGCAATTAAATAAAGCTTGTGATAATAAATCCAGTACAGTACATTTGTTATTTGACAGTTGGTATTTTAGAGACTTGCTGTAGAAAAAATGCCTAGTTGGTAACTCAAGATGACCTTGAGGCAAGGTTCCAAGTCTTCCAACCCATGTTTAGTTATCTTATAACTCAGCCATACTGTACTTGAAAATGGTTCTTATTAATTATAATTGCATTTGTCATTGTGATGTTTGTCAAATATTTAGTTATTACATTAAAATTATTTACTTAATTTGTATGTGCTAATCTATAAAATAAGAAATACAATATTTTAAATGTATTTTGGATTAATTTATTTGAGACCTAACTGTTTAACAAATTGGTTGACAAAATTATAGATTGGTCTTCTAAAATAATCTTTCCTGCCTCTACTCTTTAGAATGCCTTCTTGTTGAATTGGCTCTGATACACAACATGCCCAGCATGATCCTTAGTCTTGGCTTTGTTGCTGTTGACTCTTCTCTTTCACAATAAATACTTAAATGATCCAACCTTCTTAACAAACATGATCTGACTTAAGCTTTGCCCCTGATGCTTATTCTTAGCCCCTTTTCATATTCTTACCTTTCCTCTCGTTCTTACCTTGTTCTTAACTTCCTCGTTTTCTTATATATATATATATATATATATATATATATATATATATATATATATATATATATATATATATATATATATATATATATATATATATATATATATATATATATAATTGTTGTACCTAGTAGTCAGAACGTCTTACTTGGCCTACTATGCAAAGCTCAATTTGTCTAATAAGCCAAGTTTTCCTGAATTTATATATATTTTTTTTCTTATGAATTGATAAATCTGCCCATTTCATTATGTATAAGATAATTTGTTTAAATTTGAGTTAAAACTAACAAAGATATATGACCTAACCTATCTTAATCTAACCGAAATCAACACACTAAGTCAATAAATTATGGTCTTAATATAATAATAATTCAATTAAACTAATTGGAAACAATTTATTGAAAATAAAAAAATCACTTGATCAATTAGGCAAATCAGGCCCTGCATAGTAGGCCGAGAAGTGCGTTCTGGCTTAATAAGTACGACATATATATACACATACATACATACAGGGGTACCTTGGTTTAAGAGTTTAATCCATTCCTGGAGACAGCTCGTAATCCAAAAACTCGTAAACCGAAGCTAATTTCCCCATAAGAAATACAGTAATGGGAAATGAATTAATCTGTTCCTGACTACCCAAAAACCTCATTTCAAATTAAATTTTATGCCTAATTCATCCAAATCTACATTACAAAAGTATGTTCAAGTTATTACTTACCCTTGCTGATGACTCCTGTTGGCGTATGGAAGATGGTGAGGAGGGAGGAGGAGGAGAAGTGTTACTGTTTGGAAGGGGAGTCCCCTTCCATTATAACATCAGGCAGTAAAGATTTTTCTGGAGTACACTCTGGCACGTTTTGCCTGCCTACCACTAGGTCCCGGTTGTGACTCGCTGCTCGATTTTCTCACAACGAAACGATCCATTGAAGATTGTTTTTCCCTTCTTTGCAACACTTCTCTGTAGTAAGACATCACATTGTAATTTAAATGGTTAATGCAACAGCCTGCTACAGCTCTATCTTGGTGAGTCTTTTTCAACAGAACTTTGCAGTTCTTCCCATACTTCACACATTTTCTTAATGAGGAAGGGATATCCTATACTGCCTCTACTCACAACTATTTTCTTAGGTTGAACCCTTACCACTGGCTTTCTTGGGACCCATAGCGAGATATATAATAACAACTTTTATGCTCAAATGTCCAAAAATCTGACAAAAAACTGTAAATCCTTGTGAAGAATTCAAGTGGGATAGTCACTGGGCGCAAAGCTTTGGTAAACTGAGGGGTGATTGCCGTGCCACAACGCGCTAGGTCAGTTTGTAGGGGTATCAACACAGTCATATTCCGAGGCAACGCTCGTATTCTGATGTAAATTTTCCGAGCAAATCCTGCTCATAACCCGAAAAACTCGTAAACAGGAACACTCGTAATCCGAGGTACCACTGTATGTATGAAAGTGTGTGTGTGTAATTACCTAAGTGTAGTTACAGGATAAGAGCTGCGCTCGTGGTGTCCCGTCTTCCCAGCACTCTTTGTCATATAATGCTTTGAAACTACTGACGGTCTTGGCCTCCACCACCTTCTCACCTAACTTGTTCCAATATTGGAAAAAAGTAATAAAAACTAAATGGGTAGAACACCTGAAGAGGAATGATATAATATTAGACAGACAATATGGTTTTCGATCTGGAAGATCCTGTGTATCCAATTTACTCAGTTTCTATGATCGAGCCACAGAGATATTACAGGAAAGAGATGGTTGGGTTGACTGCATCTATCTGGACCTAAAAAAGGCTTTTGACAGAGTTCCACATAAGAGGTTGTTCTGGAAACTGGAAAATATTGGAGGGGTGACAGGTAAGCTTCTAACGTGGATGAAAAATTTTCTGACTGATAGAAAAATGAGGGCAGTAATCAGAGGCAATGTATTGGAATGGAGAAATGTCACAAGTGGAGTACCACAGGGTTCAGTTCTTGCACCAGTGATGTTTATTGTCTACATAAATGATCTACCAGTTGGTATACAGAATTATATGAACATGTTTGCTGATGATGCTAAGATAATAGGAAGGGTAAGAAATTTAGATGATTGTCATGCCCTTCAAGAAGACCTGGACAAAATAAGTATATGGAGCACCACTTGGCAAATGGAATTTAATGTTAATAAATGTCATGTTATGGAATGTGGATTTGGAGAACATAGACCCCCACACAACCTATATATTATGTGAGAAATCTTTAAAGAATTCTGATAAAGAAAGCGATCTAGGGGTGGTTCTAGATAGAAAACTATCACCTGAGGACCACATAAAGAATATTGTGCAAGGAGCCTATGCTATGCTTTCTAACTTCAGAATTGCATTTAAATACATGGATGGCAAATATACTAAAGAAATTGTTCATGACTTTTGTTAGGCCAAAGCTAGAATATGCAGCTGCTGTGTGGTGCCCATATCTTAAGAAGCACATCAACAAACTGGAAAAGGTGCAAAGACATGCTACTAAGTGGCTCCCAGAACTGAAGGGCAAGAGCTATGAGGAGAGGTTAGAAGCATTAAATATGCCAAAACTAGAAGACGGAAGAAAAAGAGGTGATATGATCACTACGTACAAAATAGTAAAAGGAATTGATAAAATCGACAAGGAAGATTTCCTGAGACCTGGAACTTCAAGAACAAGAGGTCATAGATTTAAACTAGCTAAACACAGATGCCGAAGAAATATAAGAAAATTCACCTTTGCAAATAGAGTGGTAGACGGTTGGAACAAGTTAAGTGAGAAGGTGGTGGAGGCCAAGACCGTCAGTAGTTTCAAAGCGTTATATGACAAAGCGTGCTGGGAAGACGGGACACCACAAGTGTAGCTCTCATCCTGTAACTACACTTAGGTAATTACTTAGGTAATTACACACACGTAGCTCGAGCTATACGAGCGTAGCTCTCATCCTGTAACTACACTTAGGTAATTACTTAGGTAATTACACACACGTAGCTCGAGCTATACGAGCGTAGCTCTCATCCTGTAACTACACTTAGGTAATGATTAGACTCATTATAACCAGCCACCACTGCAGACTCCTCAATATCAACAACAGCACACACCTCAGGTGAAGTATAATATTTATTAATATTTGCTCCTGGTGTGTGTGTGTGTATTCACCTAGTTGTGTGTTTTTCTCCACACCACACACACACACCCGAGGAAGCAGCCCACGACAGCTGACTAACTCCAAGGTACCTATTTACTGCTAGGTGACAGGGGCATTCAGGGTGAAAGAAATTTTGCCCATTTATTTCTGCCTGGTGTGGGAATCAAACCCGCGCCACAGAATTACGGGTCCTGCGCGCTATCCACCAGGCTACCAGGCCCCCCCTTTATATATATACAGTATATGTATATAATATTCTGTTCTTACCTTATTCTTTTATTCATTCAATTCTTGCCTTATTCTTACATTCATCCAATTCTTGCCTAATTCTTATATTCATCCTATTCTTACCTTTTTCTTACCTGCTCCTCATGTCACTCTTAGCTTATTGAGTACAGTATTGTATTGGGGAGTATTGGTGTATTATTGAATATTGATGCCCATGCGGTCCTAGCATGTTGAAGTAATTTGATGAAATATCTGTGCCCAATAATGCCATGAGTGCTAATGGGTATTGGGTGCATGTAGGTCTTGGTGAGAATTCCCAACACTTTTAGACAGTCGATGGCTGAGCGGTTACAGCACTGGACAGCCCAGGGTATGGGCCCTGATTCTTACCTAGTATGACTGGGTACGAATCCTTCAAGGGTCAAGAATTTTCTAATGCATGTTGGCTTGGGGACCATTCATAATTACTGACCCCACCCAGGATGCAACCCCACAAGATGCTGACTAACTTCTGAGTACCTACTTACCGCTAGGTGAACAGAGGCATTTGGTGAAAGGAAATGTGCCCAACCATTTTTGTCCTGACCAGGATTCGAACCATGAATTTTTTTATTGTGCATTGAGAATGAACTGTACAGTATAATATATAAATACTTGTATATATAAATAACTGTACTGTATATATAAATAAATGCTGCCCAACTGGAATTTTTAGCCTTCCCCAAGCTGCCACTTGAGCATGAAAGAATTAGGTGAGCCATGGCCCAGTCATATATATTGTCAAGCACAATAAACGTGAATAACAACATTTCATTCACTTGGGCCATAGAAGCCTCGAACAATTGACCCCTGGTCCCAGGTAGGCTTATAATGACATGCACGGACTTGGCACTGATTGAATTTGGGGGAGTTATCTAGGTAGCCAGCACCAGGGAGCCTCCAATAACCAACCAGAAAGAGGCATTTCATGACATTAATTGCTGTTTTTTTTTCTTTCAGTCCTGACTATCAGATGGGCTACAATCAGCCTTCATATGATCAACAGCCTCATCAGCAGCAGCCTAATCAAACACCACAGCAACAGCATCAAGTTTATGCTCACCAAGATTATGAACAGCCACAGCCACAGCAGCAAGTCTACCAACCACCACAGCAACAGCCAGAACAACAAACTTCCTATCAGACTCATTATAACCAGCCACCACCGCAGACTCCTCAATATCAACAACAGCACACACCTCAGGTGAAGTATAATATTTATTAATAAAAATAATTTTAAGTAGCATAATTGTAGAGGATGTATTAGGCTTTTTCCCCTATAGCTGATTTGTTTGTGAAGGGTTGTATTTCTGTGTTGCTGTTCAGTATGAAAGACATGGTGTGTGTATTGGTGTATTGATGTATCTTTACCTGTCTGTCTATTTCTAATACCTGTACTGTGCTTTTCTCCTTCTGACAAATGACTCGGTGCCATGAAAATCGGAAATGGGGTAATTAGAGACGAAAAATGGTTTTGATTCACTTTTCTCTCCATTGTAACATTGTTGATAAAGTATATTTATAAAGAGTATAAATACAATACCTGATTTGCTCCTGATGACTTCTGTTGAGATGTTTTTATGTAACCGTCAGTTCGGATTTTGATACGTAATTTTAATAACAGCAGATTAATTTTAAGTGTTTGATAATCATATTTTCAGTAAACAAAAAAGGGGCTGAGACATTCCAGGCACAAAATAATAAAATATTAAATGTGTGTGTAATTACCTAAGTGTAGTTACAGGATGAGAGCTACGTTCGTGGTGTGCCATCTACCCATCACTCATTGTTATATAACGCTTTGAAACTACTGACAGTTTTTACCTCCACCACCTTCTCGCCTAACTTGTTCCAACTGTCTACCACTCTATTTACGAAAGTAAATTTTCTTATATTTCTTCAGCATCTTTTTTTATTTAGCTTAAATCTATGACCTCTTGTTCTTGAAGTTTCAGGTCTCAGGAAATCTTTCTTACCAATTTTATCAATTCCTGTTATTATTTTGTACGTACTGTAGTGATCATATCATCTCTTTTTCTTGTTTTCTAGTTTTCTCATATTTAATGCCTCTAACCTGTGAGCTGGGTGGACAGATCTTCGGATTCGTAGTCCTGATGTTCCAGGTTCGATCCCCGGTGGAGGCGGAAACAAATGGGCAAAATGTTTCTTTCACCCTGATGCTCCTGTTACCTAGCAGTAAATAGGTAACTGGGAGTTAGACAGCTACTACGGGCTGCTTCCTTGGGGGGGAGAGGGGGAGTGTAACAAAGAGGAAGCCTGGTCAAGGACCGGGCCGCGGGGACGCTAAGCCCCGAAATCATCTCAAGATAATCTCTCCTCGTAGCTCTTGCCCTTCAGTTCTGGGAGCCACTTAGTAGCATGTCTTTGCACCTTTTCCAGATTGTTGATGTACTTCTTAAGATATGGGCACCACACAACCGCTGCATATTCTAGCTTTGGCCTAATAAAAGTCATGAACAATTTCTTTAGTATTTCGCCATTCCATGTATTTAAAAGCAATTCTGAAGTTCGAAAGTGTAGTATAGACTCCTTGCACAACGTTCTTTATGTGGTCCTCAGGTGATAGTTTTCTATCTAGAATCACCCCTAGATATCTTTCTTTATCAGAATTCTTCAAAGATTTCTCACATAATTTATAGGTTGTGTGGGGTCTATGTTCTCCTATTCCACATTCCATAACATGGCATTTATTCACATTAAATTCCATTGGCCAAGTGGTGCTCCATATACTTATTTTGTGCAGGTCTTCTTGAAGGGCATGACAATCATCTAAGTTTCTTATCCTTCCTATTATCTTAGCATCATCAGCAAACATGTTCATATAATTCTGTATTCCATCTGGTAGATCATTCATGTAGACAGTGAACATCACCGGTGCAAGTACTGAACCCTGTGGTACCCCACTTGTGATATTTCTTATCACTATGTGATATTGAATCAGAGGCAATCCGATACATTGCCTCTGATTACCGCCCTCATTTTTCTATCAGTCAGAAAAATTTTCATCTATGTTAGAAGCTTACCTGTCACCCCTCCAATATGTTTCAGTTTCCAGAACAACCTCTTATGTGGAACTCTGTCAAAAGCCTTTTTTAAGTCTAGATAGATGCAGTCAACCCAACCATCTCTTTCCTGTAAAATCTCTGTGGCACGATCATAGAAACTGAGTAAATTCGATACACAGGATCTTGCAGATCGAAAACCATACTGTCTGTCTAATATTATATCACTTCTCTCTAGGTGTTCTACCCATTTAGTTTTTATTATTTTTTCCAATATTTTTACCATTACACTTGTCAATGATACAGGTCTATAATTTAGGGGGTCTTCCCTGCTGCCACTTTTGTAGATTGGAACTATGTTTGCCTTTTTCCATGCGTCTGCTATGATTCTTGTACACAGGGATGCCTGAAAAATCAGCTGAAGTGGAATGCTGAGCTCATGTGCACATTCTCTCAGAACCCATGGCAAAACTCCATCTGGGCCAACTGCTTTGTTCTTACATAGCTCCAAGAGCATTTGTTTCACTTCGTCTCTAAACACCTCCATGTGCTCTATTCTGTTCTCTGGAATTCTTATTGTGTCTGGTTCTCTGAAGATCTCATTTTGTACACACATACTTTGAAACTTTTCGTTTAATGTTTCACACATTTCCTTTTCATTTTCAGTGTATCTGTCCACCTTTTTAACCTCTGAATACTATCTTTTATTTATAGAAAAGGCCTGGATCTGATTTACATTTGTCTGCTATACCGCTCTCAAAGTGTGTGTGTGTATATGAATGTTTGGATAAAGATGTGGCATGTACTCCCTCCCTTCTACCAGAATTAGCTACATAAACAATTGCCCAACCAGGCAGGTATACGTGCAAGCAGTTTGGAAGGTAGGCATGCAAGCAGTTTGGAAGTTAGGTATGCAAGCTGGTTGATATGCATGCAAGCTGTTTGAGACTTAAGCATTGAAGCAGTTAGACATGCAAGCAGATTGGCAGATAGTTTGAAAAACAAGTCAACAGGCAGGGCAGACAAGTAGAGCAAACCCTGGGTAGGTAGCTGTCACATATTTTTATCTTGTTCAGTTCCATTCCCCAGCCAACTGTTACCCTCCTATACTAGTTTGGATCAGTTGCTGTAACAACATATCCAACCCCCCTCCATCACTCCAAACTTAGTTCTCAGTTTTATTTTGTGGCTTTGTGAGAATGTACCATTTACTCACCAAAATTCATTATACTTTGTTTTAAATATTTAAATTAATAAATATATATTTGAAAAAAGTGTTGGTTGAAAACCATTTGCAATTAATATCTGAAGTAAGCGATACTTTCCTCACCTCCCTTCCATCTCTATGCCCTCCTTCCCTTCCCCTTTAGTCCAGTTGAACCTGATTGGAGGAACAATGTCAAATACAAACCCCTCTCACATAATAAGTAATAATGTACTTCATAAATTCATAAATAGGTAGCAATTAGACATTTAAGGGGTCCTTTCAGACTATTCTTGAATGTAAAATTGAAAGGGTCGATATTTTTCAAATTTTGAAATAAGAAAACACAAAATTCTAAGACTTCTGACAAAGTTTTAGCAATGTAACCTTAAAATTAATACAAATTATATTTTATTTTTTATTAAAAACATTATGATAAATTTTCTATGAGTTTTAAAATTTTGACTAACACTTTCGCTGGTTCGGCGGGCGGCCCGCTGTGGACCGCAAGGTAGGCCAAGCGTTGCCCGTGAGTTCAACACTATACTCCAATGTTTATTCTCTCTTTCAGCTTTCTCATCTCAATAAAGTACATCGGTCATCATGTGAAAAAAACTGCTTTTCGTCATTGTTTACAGTTGTTATTCATTCCCTACATTGTTTATGACACCATGTCATTAGTTTTTGTGTTGCTTCCTTCATAAGTGTTTGTACCACAATATCAAATGTATAAAAAAATGAACAAACATATCTGTACTTACCACACAATGATGTTTGTAGAACATGAGTTAAACATTACCTAGGTAGAACCCCTTCACCTGCTCCAGGAAAAGATTTCCTGAAGTTGCTCGACAGATGTTTTATAGGTGGAGGGTAGACATTGGCGCACATTTTAAAACATGTCCAGCATTATTCGAACAATAAATTGAATTTTTACAAATTTTTAAATTTGCATCATCACAGAATCTGCATGTTTTGGTTTAATGCAGCATATATGCATCATCAGGGCACGAAAGTGTTAAATAGCTTAAAAGATTAGAATCTTCAAATTGTGTTTACAGTTTTAAAAAATTGGTTTTAGTTTCTAAGAAAAATATTTGTAATTCAAATGTACAATTTTGCATAAATGATTAAGTTTAGTATTTTATAACTCGGCAAATTATGACTTTAAATTAAAAACCCTAACTACATTCGACTGAAGAGTATAAATAGCATATGTGACATTCATGAGAATCATTTTAAAATTGTTGCTGATTATTCATTCTGAAGTTGCAAACTTCACTTTTGAGTAAATCAAGTTCAAAATTGGTGCCACTAATGAAATGCCAATTTCTGGGTGAACCTCTGGTGGCTTCCTGAAGCTATAAACTGAGATGGTTCCCATCTACCAGATCACATCAGCCATGGAGTTCTAAGGCCTACTGGGGACCAGAGCCAGAACCTAGTCCTCTCACAGTGGCACAGGGAGTTGTGACATTTCTTCACCTCACTGGGGAAGGCATCCAGAAAGTTGGCAAGTCAAAACAAACCACTGCTGGCTTCAAAAATGACTGAAGCCTCAAAACTTGCCTAATGAACTCGCCAACTATGTAAACAAATGATGGAATCTCTCGAAACTAGCATAAGTTCCTTCGCTCCAGCTCTCCACTTGTTTCAGGGAGGAGGGGGGAAAGTGTCTCCTCATCTGATTGTCTTAAGCAATCAGTTCTGGAACAAATGCACAAACAAAACTTACTCAATGACCAGGGAAGGGGAAAATGGAGCTACCTAATGACCAGGGAAGGGGAAATGGAGATACTGGGGCTCACCCAAAAATTTGTGTTTCATTACATTCAATGTTGGTTTTCTGGGGGGGAGCCCCTGGTTGCTTCCTGAAGCTAACTACCGACGGAGAAGGAAGAACAGATGGGAACTTACCAGGGAGGAGGAAGAACAGCAGGAAACATTGCCTTACATTGCTTTTCCATTCTATAGTGTGATTTGCCTGTGTGTATATGTGGTTTCCATTTTTATATTTTAATTTCTTCCATAGCACAGGAGCTGGAATTTATCTTCATTTAATCATCATATTATCGGTGGCCCATTGAAAGATCTGATTTACATCAGATTTTAGGTTTGCTGTGCCCTCTATAGTATCTACTCTCATGAAAATCCTAGTGTCATCTACAAAGGATGATACAGTACTATAGTTTGTACCCTTGTCTGTGTCTGATAAGAGGATAAGAAAAAGTATCAGAGTAAGTATGGTATCTTTGGGGACTGAGCTTTTCATGGTGGATGATCTGGATTTTACTTCGACAATTACACCCTGGGTTCTGTTTATTAGGAAGTTAAAGATCCGTCTCCTTACTTTGCCAGTAATTCCTTTTGAATGTGTTTTGTGTGTAATAACACCATGGTCACATTTGTCAAAAGCGTTTGGAAAGTCTGTGCATATTATGTCAGTGTTTTGCTTGTCTTCCGTGGCATCTAAGGCCATGTCATAGTGATCTAGCAATTGTAATTACTTATGTGCAATTTCCCAAAAGTAGTTACAGGATAAGACCTACACTCATGGTGTCCCATCTTCCCCGCATTCTGACAAATAATACTGTGAAACTACTGATGGTTTCGGTCTCCACCACCTTCTTACTTATGTGAGAACTTATTCTAACTGTCTACTACTCTTGTTTGCAAAAGTGAACTTTGCAATGTTCTTTTGGCAGCTTTGTTCAATTAGCTTACATCTGTGACTATGTTCTTGAGGTTCCATGTCTCAAGAATTCTTCTTTCTCAGTTTTGTTAGTTCTCTTCGCTATTTTGTATTTAGGTCATACCACCTCTTTTTCTTATCGTCTATTTTTGGCATATTTAATACTTTGCAAAGCCTAGGTTCTTTATTTAATTTGATCAATAACATCAAATACTTCTCCGTTTACCTGTTTCCCTTATCGAGTTGCCTTATCTCTAAACTGCCATAGCATTTTTTCCCTCATCGAGTTGCCTTATCTATAAACTGCCATAGCATTTCGTAGTATTCTTACCTCATCCTCATGACACTTCCTCCATATATTACTAATGTTCTATTTCTCCATTAGCCACAAGTTGAGCCAGAGCCAGAACCTGAGCCTGAGCCTGAACCTGAACCTGAACCTGAAATGGAGCCTGAGGAACCAGAAGAAGAAATGGACCATGAAGCAGATTCTGATGCAGATGCTCATGACGATGATGACCAGCCTCCCCCAAATTATGAACCAATACCACGACTAACAATATCTATTCGAGGGAGAGGTAGAGGAAGAGGCCGTGGGAGAATTGGTGAGTCATATATTGTCAAACTTTAATGGATATTTTTCTTAAATTTTATGAAGTACTATCTCAGCATGTGTATTTGCACAGTGCATAATTTTTTTACTAGGCTTCCTGCATTTGTGTAGAATTAATTTAAACTTCTGACAGTATTTCTAAGGGGCTGAGAGATTGATTTTGCATTCTGCACACTGTACATTGTCACTTTGGATTTGTGGCTGTTTGTTTTCAGAGATGTACAGTATAGGCTTAGTTCTGCCCAGGTGGGTGAAGGACTACTTCCTCTTCCATCCACTGTCATGATCACATGCCCTCACCTTATCCTTAATTATGAATTGTCGTACTGTTTCGTGTTTTTAACTCTCTTTAGTTTGTCTCTTAGTACTTTGTTGTTTCCTGGGGGTAGCCCCTTGTGCTTTCCTGAACCTATCACACTGAGATGACTCCCAACTACTATGCTGCATCAGCCATGGAGTTCTTAGGCCTTCCAGGAACCAGAGCCAGAACCTGGCCTTCCCAAAGAGCCACAGGGATATGATGACAGTTTGTCACCTCACTGGGGGAAGACATCCAGAAAATCGGGATTCAGATTTCTCATCGCTCTGTGCGCCTGCTTCGTTTGAACAATGCCTCAGTGGTCCTTTGTCTAAACCGGGTGGGTTCTCTTTGGCCTGTTGCCCTTTGAGTTGGACACTGCACAGAGGTCTTCTGCCGGGTTCTTGGAGGTGGTTCTCCATGCGGTTCATGTTTGGAGAATGTCCAACGATTTCATGGACAGTCTATCTTTGTTCCTTGCCACCTACACGGAGGTGATAGTCAATGCCACCTCCTTCCTGTGGCTTTGCAAAACGTTCAAGTGCCTCGATGTGGACCTCTTTACATCAGTCTGGTATTAGCGTCTTCCTCTTTATGCAACTCCATTTCCTAATAGAGTGGATGCTTTTTGGCTTGACTGGTCATGGTGGAGATTCCTGTACCTTTTTCTCCCAGTTTAGCTGTTGCTCTGGGTCCTGGCCAGGTTGGAGTCGTACCAGGAAAAGGTGGTCCTTCTGGCTCCTTGGTGGCCAACTCAGCCTTGGCTTCAGGTACTGCTTGTTCTGTATATGAACCTGGGCAATTTTCCATGGCTCTGCCTCCTCCAAAAGATTGGTTGGTTGACATACTTCACTGGTTTAGCCTTCTCTGCTCTTTGTGTCTGAACTTATTGATGTGTGTCTGCCATCATCTTTACGACAAACAGGTGGCTACTTTGGCTACTTTGCGGCAACCGCAGGTGTCCCACCTGCAGTGTCTTTTCTGCAGTAGTTTGAGGTTTCTTGGCACTCCTTTTGCCATTTCCTTTATCTTCATTGTTGTTGTTCCATTACTGAGGGTGTGGTGCTCTTCTTTCTTGGCATTTTCTTGATCGGCATCTCATACTAAATACTGTTGCTTCATATCGTGCAGCGCTGGCAGACCACTGCAACTTGTGTCTGGCGCCGATACTATCTTGGTGCTGTTTCACAAGCTATCTTAAGTGTTGTTTTACCTCTGACCTGCTCATTGCTCCACTTGAGCCTGCTAGGGCCTTGGACTGCATTCATTCTTTTGTGTCTTCTTCTCAGTTTCCTGTGCCCCCTTTGGTCCTGGATTCCTTTTTGAACGCTCGCCCCTTTTAGTGGCTCTTGTCTCCGGTTATCAGGCCAGCAAGCTTTATGCTTTCCTCCAGAGATGGGCTTTTTGTTCTTTTTGATCTGGTGGAGTTTCTGTTCATTTACAGCTGGCTCCTCATTTTCTGGTGAAGAACAAGTTGACTGGCTTCCAGAGGAGTCCTTTGGTTTTTGATGCTTGGTTGGTTCAGCCGGGGGTGTATCATGTGCTGTATCCAATGGCAGCTCTCCACCTCATCTTTATGCCACTAATTCTGCTTTGGTGGATGCCGTGTTCGTAGATCTGATATCCTTTCTTCCTTATTTTCCAAGGCTTGTGTGTCTCAGGTTGTCCAGTATTATTAAGTCTGTCCAGCCTGCAGTCTACCCTGGTTCCCATGATGTTTGGAAGTACAGTATGCCTCTTTGGTGGCTGTGTTTGCTAATATGTCCTAGGTTGAAATTTGGGTTTGGTAGATTTAGTGGTGTAACCAGGGTTCTGGCAGCCCGGTATTTAATTAACACTATCGCCGGCGCCACGTGCGCACCGCAGACTTTGACGTCACGGGGCCAATGGTGCGGGCGAGCGTGCAGCGACGCCTAAATGTGTATACTCGTTTCAGTTTTCTCACCTTAATTCTTGTGCTACGTCGTTCGTGTTGGTATCATTATGTTCGCAATTAAATTCCCCTGCAGATATATATGCATATAATGTCCAAAGGCCTGGTGAGACTCCCCGCAGCAAAGCCTAAAGTTACCCATGAATGAGCACCAATTTGCACACCACAACCTAATGTGTATACTCGTTCAGTTTGATAACATCAATTTTCATGTTGCATCGTTCGTTTTGATATCAAATTGTTCGCAAAATAAATGCGTGCAGTTTAAAACTAGTCCCGTAATAATAGAGCAATAACTGGAATTTTAACAAATATTTTAATTTTGGACGCTCATCATCAAAATTATTTATATACAGTATTTCTAGTGTTCAGACATAAAATTTCATGTTACATCGCTCGTTTTGGTATCAAATTGTTCGCAATATAAAGGCGCGCATTTTAAAACTAATCCCATAATAATAGCATAATAAATAGAATTTTAACAAATATTTTAAAATTTAGACCCAAAAATTATTTATAATCTTTCAAGTGTTCTGACATCAAGTTTCATGTTACATCTTTCATTTTGGTATCAAATTGTGCACATTTTAAAGGCGCTTATTTTGAAACTATCCTGAGGTCAATTGCATAAAAAATGAATTTTATACAAATATTTTTGTAGTGGATGCAAGTCCTGTCCACGGCTAGGACTCTGGAGAAAAAGGAGAAAAAAATGGACGTGATCGGTGAAAAAAGCAAGCGATAGTGTTAATGTTCCCGGACCTCTGCTTTCTTGTGTGGCCTTAAGTCGTGTCTCTTGGCCTTTATTATCTAGATGATTGATTACAAAATATGGACATTTAAAGGAAATAAAAGAAAGTTTGTTTCCTAAAGGCTGTAGATTTCTTCAAACTCCTCCAATGCCAGACAGGAACTGAGGATGCAGTGGGCATTCTCCCTCTGGATTGCTACACTGAGGCACTTTAAGAGAAAGCCTGCCACTCTAGGGTCTCTTGTTGTTTCGATGAGCCTGGAACCAAGATCTTTGAGATCACCTTTATGAGATTATCCCCTATGAGGTGAATAGGTTACAAGTATCTATTGGCCAGATGGGCACTTCGTGGTACTATCAAGGACCCAAGTACCACGTTAGGCACCAAATGTGATAATATCCCAATATTAATACAAGTGACTTCAGTCAGAAAGGACAGAATTAGCATCAACAAACAAATGCTGTAAGGACAGCTTATTCCTTTAAGACTGCACAGGGATGCATAGAGCAACTGCAGGAGTACAAATCCTCGGCACTCCCTATTCACTAGTTCGTGGAGTTTTGGTGACTACTGATGGTAGTCTTCAAAGTAACTCGATGGTGTCTCACATCAAATAATTTATTTATTTGAGGTGTATGGTCATGAAATAGTTCGAGTCCAAGTAATCCAAGCAACGCTGATGTCACTTTCAAGGACTAGGGGCAGAGCCAGAACAGGGTACAAGGGTCTGAGAAGGTGTGAACGTAAAGGCACTTGTAGTTCAACAATAAACAGTTTATTCATAAAAATTTATACTAGCGATACATGGCAAAAATAATCTAATGGTACGTTAATGTCCGTCGTGGCGCTTGACAAAGCTAGGCTAGCCAGAAGAACTGGGCTTCCGGTTCAGACCGCTCACGGTCCTAATGCAAATTAATCCTTACAAAGTAGGCAACCACTCTAGATGCAATTGCAGCTCATCATGACTGCAGCAAGCAATAATAAAATACAATAGAATGACAACAGACAGACCTGTCACTGAGACCAGTCTTCTGTGCGACACAATTAATTACTTTAACCCACAATAACAGACAGATGACAATTGATCTACTCGAATTCAATAAAAACAATTACAGATGTTTACATTACTTAGTAGATCCAATTATGTTGCTGTCTCCAAGACATTCAAATCAAAACAATGTAAACTACGTTAACACACTCTGTCACAGTCAAATAAATCAAAACAAGTCAATGAAGTCAACAACAGCTTACGGGTAATTAGCAATCCCTGAGTAACCCCTCAAGGTCCTGTCACAACTTGACAGCTCGCTTGACTCACGAAGAATCTACGTTAACGCTCGACAGTCAACCGCTTGACAACCACTGATTAGTCAACATGATTGCTAATCACCACGTACTAATCAAACGATAATCAATTACGTTAAATTAATACACTCACTTCAAGAATAATGAACACTAAATCCAACTGACTTCTCAAGATAAATGAACACTAAGTTACACTGACTTGTCACAAAATATATGAACACTAAGTTACACAACGCCGGGTCACACAGACCAACGCAAACGGACTCATTAGGCAGGAAAGAGAAGGGTGGGCCGACTGCATTTTCCTGAATTGCCAAAAAGCCTTTGACACAGTACCCCATAAAAGGCTGTTAAAAAAGTTGGAGCAACAGGCAGGCATAAAAGGTAAGGTGCTCCAGTGGATAAGGGAGTACTTAAGCAACAGGAAACAGCGAGTAACGGTGAGGGGGGAGACATCAGAGTGGCGAGATGTCACCAGCGGAGTCCCACAGGGCTCAGTATTTGGACCCATCCTGTTTCTAATATATGTGAACGATCTTCCAGAGGGTATAGACTCATTCCTCTCAATGTTTGCTGATGATGCAAAAATTATGAGAAGAATCAAGACGGATGAAGATAGACAGAGACTACAGGATGACCTGGATAAATTGGAGGAATGGTCTAGAAAATGGCTGCTAAAGTTCAACTCAGGAAAGTGTAAGGTGATGAAATTAGGCGAAGGGAGCAGGAGGCTGAACACAAGGTATCATCTGGGAGGGGAAATCCTGCAAGAGTCAAATAAGGAGAAGGATCGGGGGGTTGATATCACACCGAACCTGTCCCCAGAGGCCCACATCAAAAGAATATCATCAGCGGCATATGCTAGACTGGCCAACATAAGAACTGCCTTTAGAAACTTGTGTAAGGAATCTTTCAGAACCCTGTATACCACTTATGTAAGACCAATCCTGTAGTATGCAGTTCCAGCCTGGAGTCCATACCTAGTTAAGCACAAGATAAAGTTAGAGAAGATTCAGCAGTATGCCACCAGGCTCGTCCCGGAACTGAGAGGATTGAGCTACGAGGAAAGGCTAAAGGAGCTGAACCTCACATCCCTGGAAAACAGAAGAGTAAGGGGAGACATGATAACCACCTACAAAATTCTCAGGGGAATTGACAGGGTGGACAAAGACAAACTCTTCAGCACGGGTGGGACACAAATAAGGGGACACAGGTGGAAACTAAGTACCCAGATGAGCCACAGAGATATTAGAAAGAACTTTTTTAGTGTCAGAGTGGTTGACAAATGGAATGCATTAGGAAGCGATGTGGTGGAGGCTGACTCCATACACAGTTTCAAGTGTAGATATGATAGAGCCCAATAGGCTCAGGAACCTGTACACCTGTTGATTGACGGTTGAGAGGCGGGACCAAAGAGCCAGAGCTCAACCCCCGCAAGCACAACTAGGTGAGTACTATTGTGATTTCTGTGTGTGTGTCTGATTGATTTTTTTTATTTTTTTTTACAGTAATATTATTCAATAGTGTAATTACCTAAGTGTAGTTACAGGATGAGAGCTACGCTCGGGGTGTCCCGTCTTCCCAGCACTCTTTGTCATATAACGCTTTGAAACTACTGACGGTCTTGGCCTCCACCACCTTCTCCCCTAACTTGTTCCAACCGTCTACCACTGTTTGCGAAAGTGAATTTTCTTATATTTCTTCGGCATCTGTGTTTAGCTAGTTTATATCTATGACCTCTTGTTCTTGAAGTTCCAGGTCTCAGGAAGTCTTCCCTGTTGATTTTATCAATTCCTGTTACTATTTTGTATGTAGTGATCATATCACCTCTTTTTCTTCTGTCTTCTAGTTTTGGCATATTTAATGCCTCTAACCTCTCCACGTAGCTCTTGCCCTTCAGTTCTGGGAGCCACTTAGTAGCATGTCTTTGCACCTTTTCCAGTTTGTTGATGTGCTGCTTAAGATATGGGCACCACACAACTGCTGCATATTCTAGCTTTGGCCTAACAAAAGTCGTGAACAATTTCTTTAGTATATCGCCATCCATGTATTTAAAAGCAATTCTGAAGTTAGAAAGCGTGGCATAGGCTCCTCGCACAATATTCTTTATGTGGTCCTCAGGTGATAGTTTTCTATCTAGAACCACCCCTAGATCTCTTTCTTTATCAGAATTCTTTAAAGATTTCTCACATAATATATAGGTTGTGAAGTGTAGTGTGATATATTTATATAATAAAATATATGAATCATCGCTATGCTAAATATTATGGTGTACATATTAGTGATTCAATTATGTTCATAAAACAATAAACAAATAGTTTTTCTGTTATTACACTATATACCCCTAGGTTATATATACTGTATCAGCTCGCTAATCTGGACTATATGAGAAGGACCCCCAGCCGGATTATCACGTTTTCCGGATTAACATACTTTTTCACCACGGAAGTCTAAAAGTGACCAGTTCCAACTTTTTATGCCATAAACATCCTAATTTGAATTGCCTTGCCACATATAATTATAAAATATTCATCTAGAATCCTCAACTTACTTTGTTGCAGTTTGTCTTCTTGATTGATGCCACACATCTTGAAGTTAAGAATTCTTGATAATTTACGTAACCTATTCTAACAACACTAAAATTAACACTTAAAATTACTGTACAGTTCATGAGGCAAAGTTAGTTTTGACTGCCAGCTGGTGAGGCCTCAATGGTTGAAGGCAGCTGCTGAGGCCTCACTGGTTGAAGGTGCTTGGCATGCCTGTGACGCCTCACTGGTTGAAGGTGCTTGGCATGCCTGTGACGCCTCACTGGTTGAAGGCGCTTGGCTTGCCTGTGATGCTTCACTGGTTGAAATGTATTTCAGGTATTGCTCTTTTTGTTTCCTTATATCAGAAACAGTCCTAGTGCCTATATTAAAGTCCTTGGCAACATTTGAAGTCGACCGGCCACTTTCACAAAGTTGTATAACAGGTAACTTGTCTTTAATTGTTCTGGTAACCTTCTTCCTCTTAACACCTCCAGAATGATTGATGTTGCTACCAGACATAGTCTTGGCCAAAAATGTTCAAAGTTACTATGAAAACAAAAAAGTTATTTAAAAAAATATTTCACTAATGGTGCGGCACTGTGGTATAACGCGAGGGACGGGAGCACATGGACTGTTTAGCTTGACCAGGCCTGTACGGGTCCACTTTGGGCAGGCACGTTACGTGAGTCGCCAGGCGGAAAAAACTCACAATATTTTTGAAGCAAACTTCAGCCTGTGCAAATTGTTTTTAGGAAACTTTGTATATTTGTTATTATATAACTATTTCTTTTGTTTTTGACTGTGGTGAATTGTTCTAAAATTAATGATAAGTCCTGTAGTGTACAGTATAGGCCCCTCCACATCCCCCTTATTTCCCAGGCGGTCCGTCCCAATGCTCCCCTCTCTCCCGACACTACCCACCCACTCCACCCCCTCCTACACCATGCACCTAGATCCAAAGCCGTACAGGATTGCTGTGGTACAACCCAATGCCTGGCTTTCCGATCCAGACTATTAGCTACTTGTCTGGTTTACTGTCCAGATTGGGTAACATCGGCAGCAAGTTAACCGGCTCAGATTTCTTATCCGGCCAAACATCAGTTAGTTCAGCTTCCATGGACATTTTGGCTGGATGGGGAGAAAACTTTATCTGGCCACAATTTTGGCCGGATTAGGCCGTTTTCCGGATAGGCGGATTCCGGATTAGTGAGCTTCTACAGTAAGTATCTGCATGTTTTATTCACCATAACGAACCACCAAGTTGGTATGGTGAATCAATAAGCAGCGATGAGTGGCCACTACACCTGCCAACCAGCCACTCGCCACCAGTCCTCTTCCTCAGCACCTCACTCGTCAACATTTCTCCCACCATACTGTTTTTGCTTTTATTCACTATATACAGACATTATATATAAGTATTAGTATCTACATGTTTTGTTGCCAAAATGGGTACTGCCACTAGGAAGTCTCCTGCAGGGGGGGGGGGGTGCACTGCTCTGAGGCGGGCTTTCTCCTTTTCTGATGTTGCAGTGCTGAGCATGGCATCAGCTTTTTTCCCACAAGTGGGTGGGTTCTATCTGGACTTTTTGTAAAATCTATGGGTGCTGGGGCTGCAAGACCATCCAACTGATTTGAACATTCAGTGAAAACAGGTTCGTTTATTCTACTAAATCACTCAGGGGTTCTGGTTAGATATCTCTTACAAGGACGTGTGATGCATGGGAGGAGGAAAGGAAGGGTGGTAGAGCAGTCTGGGAGGCTATGCGGACAGCAAGGCCACCGAGTCTTACAGGGAGGATTGCTTGCTCCCATTGAGAGTTGTCCAACGGAAGGTTCAAGACTTTCACCAGCTCACCAGCATGGACCTCAAAAGGGTGTCATGAGCATTTAATTTGGGACTTATGTAGGATGAAGAACACCTCAGAAAGTAAGTCAACTTAGGGAGAGAGAGAGACATCTTGTGGGAGGAAGGGAATCAATCTTGTCAATCCTGTCCAGCATTCTCCTTAGGTCAGTGATTTTTGCATCCAGGACCTCCTCAATTGCTTGCAGGCCAATGGGGGCCCCCAGGAGGATGCAGTCAGGTGGCTTGACAACGAGAATGTTGGGAAGAACAGTTTTTATTTGGCCAGTGATGTCTGGGTTGCAGGAGACTATTTTGCATTTGGATGCATTGAAAATGAGGCTCAAGGCTACTCCTTGCTCCTGGATTTTCCTTATATCCTACAAAATGGTATCTGGGATTCCGGTGAGAGTGCCATCATCCAGGTACCAGATGTTTAGCTCGCTTGTCAGACTATCAGTGAGCTCTTTGATAGCCAAGCAGAAAAGTAGTGGGGCTACGGGGATCCTGTTGGACACCTTCACAGGAGTCTATTTCATGCTCCACAAAAAGAAGCTTAGCGTCCCCACTGTGGCACTATCAGATGAATGGATAAAGGGGGATGGAAATAGTTGTGTACAACCCTGAGGACAGTCTCTCTTCTGATTTGATTGAAGGCATTTTTAAAGTCAAGCTTTACTAGTGCCTTCTGATCTGAGGAATCAGCACTGTAAGTACGTGCCACATGTGCTGCAGCTTCACAGCCTAGGGGGATCCCAAACCCGAGTTGATTAGGCTTCAGCAAGATGGCTGCTTCCTGGCTGATCCTTAGCTACTAGGCGTCGGAGGGTGTTGCCAATGGCAATGGGCCTGATTTCCCCATCCTTCTTCTTTAGAAGACAGTGTGTTGCTCCATAAAAGAGAGGCTTAATGGAACAACATCCTGCTCCCTTTTGTCCAAATTGCATTTTCCTGTGTTCAGTCTTTCACCTCCTTATTGATTGCCTTGATTTTCAAGATTTTCAAGATCCTACTTTCCAAATGTTCTTACGAGGTCAGTTGTCTCTCGTTAGCATCCTTGATGAGTTAGATACCTTTCATATTGTCTGCCTAATGTCCTCCTATTCTCCTGTTGGTATATAGAATGATTTTTAACACATTTTAAATACCTTGCAATGTAGTGTTTCATAGTCTTCCTGGCATGGTGCATTCTTTGATAATTGTTTAACACAAGCTGTATTGGAGATGATATTCAAGAGTGGATGCAAGGGCCAAATAAATGAAGATATAATATTGATTCCTGGACAGGTTCTTGTGATCTAATAAATAATTTTTTCCTTTCATTAGCTACAATTAAGAAGATTGGAGACCAGTTTGTAGGAGAGCCACCACGCAAGCGAGGTCGTCCAGGTCGGAAACCAATCACTGAAGTAATGGCAGAAGATGAAAATTCACTCTACTACATAGTCAGAAATGGACGAGCAGTATTAGCGGTAAGTTTCTTAACACTTTCGCGCACCCCGCGCGCCACCCCTCAACTATACGATTTGGGTCCCAGCGTTTCACTGGAGCGCGTGTTAATTCCGAAAAGTGTATACTCTCTTCAACTTTGTCACCTCAATTCTCGTTCTACGAGATTAAATTTGGTATCATTGTGTTCGCAATAGAATTCTCTACAGCACTAAATGCATATAAACTCCAAAAGCCCGGCTAATTACCCGCAGCAAACAGAGAAAGTGTGAACGAGTTACCCAGGAGCGCGCAAAAGCGATAAAATGTTTTCACTATTTTCACTCTGGTCACCTCAATTTTCGTTCTAGGTCTCTCATTTTGGTCTCAATGGGTTCGCAATAGAATTCTCTAGAGGAACATTAGCATATAAAATAAAAAACCTGGTCACGCTCCAACCGCCGACGAGTTGAAGACGGGCCACGCGTTAGCCGCGAGTGAGCGCTCAGATGCCTTCCAGCTACACTCCCAATTCCCGGCCACAAATGTTTAGTATTATTACCTGGTGCTAATCTCAATTTTCGTGTTACAGCGCTCATTTAGGTATGAAAATGTTCCTAATAGAATTCTTTAGATGGATATGTGCATATAAGGGCCATTTGAAGAACAACATTGCCTGTACAATACGGGAAAGTATGAACAAAAAAAAATAAATAAAAAATAATACAATTTTTTGTACTTACTACCTCAGTGTTGTGTGTTGAACATGACATGGGTTGAACATTTGTTTTATCCACCTGCTCCTGGAAAACGTTTCTTGCAGGGTCAACCCATGTTTTGTATAGGTGGAGTGGATGGTGGGCAAGTATTACTGCTTATCGGCCCAGAATTTTTTCTTTCGATGGTATCTGCTGTAGCGTGGTGCAGGACACAATGCCACATCACACGTCTTGCACTTATAGTGTGTGTCCTTCCTTTTACCCGACAATTTGCACACATGACACCTCAGACGCTTCCGTATCTTTACTTGGGTATGGGACAAGTTTCTTTTGAGGCGGTCTGGATTATCCACAATACGGGGTCTTGTTGCAGCAGAAGCACCACTAGTGATAATCACAGCCTCGTCTTCTGACTCAGACGATGAAGGTAAGTCTGCAGGTACAGGTGAAGTGAATAGTGGGTGCCTCACACCTGAAGGTCCTGCTGTTGGAGGTCTGGGTGTTGATGGTCCTGGTGTTGCAACATTGGCTCCAGTGGCATTGACATCAGCAGCATGTGGGATGTCATCATCTTCCTCAGGCCAGTTACTAGACTTATAGAACAATAGTGCAGCAATGACTTGTTCATGGAAATGGAGTAATGTCAGTTTCCTTCTATCTGTTGTGTAGTAGTTGTACATCACAAAGGCATTGTAGATAGCCATTTGCACAAAATAGAAGGTCATTTTCTTCGTCCATTTGTGAGTTTTACTTGTGAAGTGATATTTGATCATTTGGTCAAAGTGATCAACACCTTTCATGTTTGTATTGTAGTCACAGATTGCATTCGGCTTGTTGACAGTTACCTGCTGCACTGAGATTGTTCCATCACGATTCCGTACTCGTTTTCTGCGTTGAACCTGTTGTGTTTCTGCATTGTGGCAATTTGTTATGAGTGAAACAATTCGTTTATCTTTCCACAAAATTATGAAAGTATTGTCCTTGCATTTGAATAAAGTTTTATCTACTGCCACTTTACCCTTTGCTTGCATCTGAAGGGATTTAGGTGCACCACGCTGCAGTCTGAGGGGTACCACAGGTGTATACCCCTACTTGAAGCAGTGCCTCACTCAATCTGACCGAATTGTAATAATTGTCTATATATAAATGGTAACCTTTATCCTTCAGTGGTTTAATCAAGGCCATAACTGTGTCAATCGTCGTTTTCCCAACTGAATAAATTTCAAAATTATAAATGTAGCCACTGTTGGCTTCAGCTAGCATGTAGAGCTTTATTCCGTATTTATCTGGTTTATTGGGATTATATGTCTTGAAAGATAGACGGCCACGCCATGGCATTGTCCCTTCATCCAAACTCAAATTTTTATTGGAAATGTATATTCTCTTGAATCTATTTAGGAGATATTGCATGAGTGAGCGAACTTTGATACGTTTGTCAACTCCTTGGCCTTGTGGTATGGACTTATTGTTATAAACATGAAAATATCTAGCAATCATTTCAAATCGTTTACCAGTCATAAAGGTGTTGAAACAAGGTATGTGCCAGAATCTGCCTGTTTGCCAATACATTTTAAGTCTTGGCAACGGGCAAATACCCATCAAGATCGTCAGTCCCAAATATCTGGCAATTTCTTTCACTGTCACTGGTTGCCATCTGTGCTTTGTCCTTTGCCCAGTACGTGCCTTACTTTGGGAAGCATACAAATTAGTTTCATAGGCAATATATATCAACAATTTTTGAGTCAGAAAGAGTTGAATAAAACCAAGAACAGTGGTAGGTACAGGAACAATCAAGCCTGGTGTACCTGTAAAATTGTCCACAAAGGGTGCAGTATTGTCACTACACCATCCATCATCAGAATCTGTTGGTACTGGGGTACGTGTGGTACGTCTGGCGCTGGCATGAGCTCCAGTACCGCGCCGTGCACGAGTGGCAGTCTCGACCTCAGACTCTTCACTTTCCTCACTTTCATCACTAGCAAAATCCTCATCGACTCTCTCTGTTTCTAAATGTTCACTACTTACATCAGTATCAGTACCGATATCAGTTTCCTCACTAGATGACCCAGACAAATCGTCAAATACAGCCTGAAACTTAGAGGGAGTTAGTCTCACATGCTTGTACTTCTCCTGTACACTACTTAGCTTCTGCTTTTCACGCCTTTCTTTTGCAATTTTCTTCCTGGAAGGGCCTTGTACATGATCACTATCCATCGTGGAGTAAGCGTAGATAGTTTCTAAAGCCGCAGTAAGGAATATAGCCATGGAAAATAGCCGAAATGTTCACACGTTTGAGACGCGAGGGGAGGCGACACCGGTCACAACAGTGGAGCGAAAACAATGGGCCGACGGCATGTGCCGCGCCGCCTGTGGGCCACGAGGTGCAACAAAGAAAATGGGAAGACATCGGCGTGCATTTTAAAATCAGTCCCAAAAAAATCTGATAAAAACCTGATTTTTGGCGATTATTTAAAGTGGATGACGCAATGCTGCGTCATGCTCGTGAATACCGACAGTAAACGGATGACGCAATGCTGCATCATGCCCGGGCGAAAGTGTTAAAATATTACTAACCTTTTTTTTTTCTTGCTTCATCACTTGCATGCACTTGAACTGATGTTGCTTGAACTTTCTAAAAGCATTAAATTTTTCAAGCAAGGCATTTTTTTTTAAATTACAAAGTAGGAAATGAATAAACCCAGAGTTGGATGTAATAAAATACCTCTTTCTGGATGAGCCCCAGCCGCTCCCTGATGTCATGCAAATGGGTCACATCAAACGCAGGAGCTCTGTTTGGTCTACTCGGGACAAGAGCCAAAACTCTGTCCCACTCAGAGGTGCAGAGAGCGAGTGACAATTTGCCACCACATCAGGAAAGCACCCAGAAAATTAGTGAAGCTACACAGACAACTGGAGGGTTAGCAAAGTCCAAAGCTTTGAAACCACCAAACAACTTTGCAAACAATTCATATGGTACAAGAAAAATATTCAAAATTAGCTAAAAACTTGTAGTACCGAATACCTTCACTGGGCAGTCCATTTTCCACATACAATTGTCTTCCCTTAAAAATTCTGTGGCTGATGAACAGCCCAGTGACGAAGTGACTAATCTGGTAAAGATGGAGGAATTCGGAGAGTCACCGGGTCTCTTTTTACAGAAAGAGGCATTTCATTACATTCAAAGCTGAGTTTGTGCAGGAGCCCCCCCTCCCCCTGGGCCTTCTCGGTGCTAACTAACCACAGAGAACAAAAATGGGACTTAGCAGGGAGGAGGAGAGGTGGCATGCACTAGCACATTGAAGAGAATCCAGACCAGAAGATATTGCCCAAGGCAACATCCAACTGACTGGGACCAGGAACATCAATGAAATACTGGGCCGCCAAAATCCTGTTAGAACAGCAAAACTCCCAAGTTCAAATATCAGCCTGTGATATTTTGGAGAAGACTGCAGCCAATGCAGTGTCATGTGAACACATCATGGGCCTGAGGGTAGACTGCGGCCAATGCACTGTCATGTGAACACATCATGGGCCTGAGGGTAGACTGCATGTTTGCTAGGTTTGATGACACTGCATATGACCTTGGAAATAAAAGCCTTGGAACAGGGTATCTAGAAAACAAGGTCAACCAGCAAGGCATTGGCCCTGTTTTGCAAGCTTTCTTGTACATCGTTTCACCTGAGCTTGTTCATGTGCCACCTGAGCAGTCCTGGTTCTTTAACAAGGTTCTTTATTTTCTTGCATCCGCTTGTTTTCCATTGGCCCTTTAGGTCCACCGGATTCTTTTCAGAAAGCTCTGTTTTTGCTTTCTCTAGCTTCCAGTTGTCATGTGGGGAGCTTCATGCTCTTCATCAGCACTGGGGCTTTTGTTCTTTTAATCATGGGTGACGCTTGTTTGTTTGTAGCTGACTCCATCATTTCTGGCAAAGAATGAGTCGGTTGGCTTCCGGAGGGCCCCGTCTGGTGGCAGACGCTTAATTGGTTTGGTCGGGGGGGGGGGGGGTGTACTGTATTAGGTGGCGGCTTTATGCCAATACTTTTGTGGCACATGTTCTGCTTCAGTGGACTACTAGTGGGTTGGTCCAGTTTCCCTGGTTCCCTACTCCAGGGCTTGTGTTTCTTGGATTGTCTGCAGTGTCAAAAGTCAGGCCAGCCTAGAGTCTACCCAAGTGCCTATGATGTTTGTGAGTCTGCTGCTCTTCCAGCAGTCTTTACCGATATTCGCACATGGGGTTTTTAGTGATCGAACTGGGTCTTGGCAATCAAATATCTTGTGTCAAGTATTTCTGGTCATCTGCGGCCTTGTGTGTCCTTGGGTCGGGTGTCATAGCCTTGTGTGGCCTGGGGTCGGATGTTGTGGCCTTGTGTGTCCTGGCCTCATAAATGGCCTCCTCACGGAGTCAAATGCAGTATTTGGAGCTTTCACAGAAACCCATGCAGTGAGATCTGGATTCCAGGATATAACCTATACAGGTGTGATAGGAAAATTAGGCCACATGGAGGAGTGGGTCTGTGTATTAGGGAAGACCTTGTATGCTTGGAGCTCCTTAATGTTACAAATGAGGTGGTAGGGATTAAAAATAGAGAAAATAAATTTAATGATTATTCTAATATACAAACCGCCAGATGCAACGGCTGAGGAATTCACAGAACAGATAAACAAAATAGAGAATAGCCTTGATAATTTGGAGAACCCGATACCTGATATTATCTTCCTAGGTGACTTCAACTTGCCTAGTCTCAGGTGGAGAATAGCAAACGATAATATTATACCAGGAAATCTATCGGGACCTAACCAACCGCAGATTAGAGAACTACTTAGATTCTGTGACAAATTTTTACTCAATCAGCAGATATCGGAGCCAATGAGAAATGAAAATATTCTAGATCTGGTCTTTACGAACAATGAAGACATTATCAGAGACATTATAATATCAGATACCACATACTCAGATCACGAGCTCATTGAAGTGCAAATGACCATCAATACTCAGAATAGACCTAAAACGTTGATAAAGCGAGAGGGGCTATTCAGTAAATTCAATTTTAATAATAAAAGGATAGACTGGGAGGTAATAAACAGGGAACTTACAAGCATTCCATGGGAAACTGTTCTTAGTAATACAAGTCCTACAGAAGGAATAGAAAAACTGACTTCGGAAGCGTATCAAGTCTGTCTGAAACATGTTCCTTTGAGGAAAGCCAGAAAGAGATCCAACGTAGAAAGAGAACACAGACGACACTATAAACGCAGGAAAAAATAACGGAAATGCTCTCTTAACGGGTCTCTTAACGTCTTACCTCAATGGTGCAATGCTATGCCGTTCTCCCAATTAGACTATGCGGCTATTAGAGAAAACGGAAATTTCATGGCGGACATTGTCAAACTATCCCAAAGTCGACTGCATAACAAAGAGTTTATAGAAATATTTTTTCTCGTGACTCGTGAGCGAGTCCGCTGTGCGACCTCAACACAAAAAGTGGTAACGCTCTTGAGCGCCGTGATAACGCTAAAGTGTTAAGAAAATGTGTGAAGTATGGGAAGAATTGCAAAGTTTTGTTGAAAAAACTCACCTAGATAAAGCTGTAGCAGGCCGTTGCATTGACCTTTTAAATGACAATGTGATGTCTTACTACAGACAAGTGTTAAAATGTAAGGAAAAACAAATGTCTTTAGACAAATTCTTAGTAAGACAAGCAAGTCTTAGTGGTATGCAGGCAAAACATTCCAGTGTGTGCACACCAGTGAAGTCCTCACTGCCTGATGTTATAATGGAAGGGGACTTCCCTTCCAAACAGTAACACCTCTTCTCCTCCCTCCTTCTCACCATCTTCCATACGCCAACAGCAAGGTAAGTAATAACTTGAACATAGTTTTGTAGGTTTATTTAGATGAATTAGGTATAAAATTTAGTTTGAAGTGGGGTTTTTGGGGTAGTCAGGAACGGATTAATTCATTTCCCATTATTTCTTATGGGAAAATTAGCTTCGGAATACAAGCTGTCTCCAGGAACGGATTAAACTCTTAAACTGAGGTACCACTGTATTACAGTACATGACCGCAGGGGAAAGTGAGTCAAGTTTGTGACTTTGTGATTAACCTTATGGATGGGCAACTCGACCTGGGCATACCTTGAGTTTCCCCTGTCCATGAATACACCAGCAAGGAAACTATGAAGTGGTAGAGTTATCTCCCTCACTACAGGGTGCAAGGTTGAGTTCACTGCGAACTCTGCTCCATAGTTCGACTGAGGTGCTCCCCAGAGGTGAACAGTGGCACCTAGGGAGGGAAGTAGTGCCCTATCAGTGAGGAGCTCTAGAGCGGAGGGTGTTGTGGCTTTCCAGGGTTAACACCGTCGAGCTCTTTAGAGAGAAATCGACTCTTAAAGCAGAGTACGCCGGAGTCAAAATTGGCGATTCTATCAGGATAACTAATTGGGGGCCAAGAGCTGTCACAGTGTGCATGCCTAAGTGTAATTACAGGATGAGTGTTAAACTTGTGGTGTCCTGTCTACGCTATATTCCTTATCATGTGTGTGTGTGTTTCTGATGGGTGAGTCCAATAGCTTTTATCAGATTTTCAATTGGGCTTGGGACCCGGAAAATGGCTATGAACCAACGAAGTTGGGGCTATAAAGCTTTTAATCTTTGAGAAATTAAGTTCAAACTTAAGTGGTTTGGGAGAAATTTACTGTAAATTTATTGTAAATTACTGAAAAATTCTTGAATGGATGGTTTCTCATTGTTGCGAAAGGGAAGGCCCCTAAGCCAGTGACTGACTTTCCCCTGGATGCAACCCACAAGAGTTGCTTTCCTTCAGAGAACTTTTATACAGCTAAGTGAACAGAGGCATAGGATATATCGCCAAACATCTTGCTCTGCTCAAGAATCAAATTTGGATGTATGATTGCATATTTTTGGAAGGATGGAGTGGTTGATGCATTAATTATTATGAAAACTTCACACTGCTTTACATGTGCTGTGTACAGTGCAGTATTTATATTATTTGTTTTTTTTTCAGCAAGTTGTTGATGACTGGATAGATGCATACAAGGACAATCGTGATGGGTCACTATTGCAGTTGATGCAGTTCTTCATTAATGCTGCAGGATGTAAGGGCAAGATTACACCACATATGCAGGCTACAATGGAACATGCTGAGATTATCAGACGCATGACAGAGGAGTTTGAAGAGGTAAAACACTTGTTACTAGTCGTAGACCTTTTGGTTTGCATTTTTAAGTGGTGTATTATCAACACTTAGTCAATTAGCAGCAGACCTATTCGTACTATTTCAGGTAGCCTTCACTTTTTCATGCTGCTGGATTAGCCAAGGGTAAGTCATACTCATGAATATATTACTCATCGATAGTTTTAGCCTAACCAATCCTACTGACCATGGTTTCAGTTTTTGATACAGATTCACCTGTTTTTGGATTACAGGAGAGTGGTGAGTATCCATTAATCCAGAGTGGGCAACAGTGGAAGAAATTTCGAAGTAACTTCAGCGAATTTGTGCAGCTTTTGGTAAAACAGTGTCAGTACTCCATTATCTATGACCAGTACCTTATGGACAACGTCATCTCACTGCTGACTGGTCTCTCAGATTCCCAGGTTCGAGCCTTCAGGCACACAGCAACCTTGGCAGGTTAGTAGTAATTTTATCACTATTCTATATACATAAGGTTTATTATTTAACCTGAAAAATATTTTCTGAAACAAATTGTTTATTGACTTATTGACAGCTCAATATACAGTGGTACCTCGCATAACGAATTTAATCCGTTCCATGTTCGTCATGTGAAACGGACGTCATACAAAACGAGTGTCCCCCCATGTAACCAGTGTGATGCAGTGTGTTTATTGTGAAATTTCCCCAGTGTGCATGACATCAAATGTTCCCCAAAATATAATTTTTCTTTGTAAAATGATAAATTACCGTCCCTGAACATGTCTATGTAAAAATAATTACCAAATTCCACTTACTTTGGCTGTGAGGGCGTGGACAAGGTGCGCTGTGACGTCATCAGGGCCTGGTCGCCCGTGTGTGAAGCTCCCAGACACGGTCGCGCGGGCCATTCAAGCACCGCGTGTTGCCACAAATATATTTTCAAATATTTTTTCTATGCATTTCCAATGCGGTTTTATTTGTTTCTTTTATCGTATATGATGCATATTTGTGACCTTTACAATATGTATACAGTAGAATGTTCATAATTTTCCATGGAACTGTGATACATGTGTCGGTAATGTGTCCACAATAAATGTTTATTGTCACAATATTACGTGGTAAAAATTCACTAAAATTACAATATGTATAATTTCACATACTATTTACACAGTAACACACTGTATTACACACTTAGTACTTTGGAGGTGCATAATAGTCAACGAAGTAGTCCATGGTACACAGCGTGACTTTGCTCTCCTTGCACCAGCTACAGATAGATTTTTGTTTCCTGTTTCATCGTTCTGTGTGCTTGCAAATAATGCACTCGTGTGCACCCTTGGCTTTAGTACTTGTAGGTGGTATGTAGCCAAGCTTGTAAAGCATAAGGTAGTATTGAAACGATTATAGGAAAAGCTCAATTTGTAAGGTAGTCTTGAAAAGATCGCTTTGTAAGGTCCCACACAGAAAGAGATTCAGCTAGCCTCAAAGAGTGTCCATCAGTCAGGAAGAGATTCAGCTAGCCTCAAAGAGTGTCCATCAGTCAGGAAGAGATTCAGCTAGCCTCAAAGAGTGTCCATCAGTCAGGAAGAGATTCAGGTATTCTTGAAAATATAAATGAACAGCACCACCATGGAAGCCGCTAACACTTCATCTATGCTACTTGTATCAGATGCATCATCACTGAACACAGAAAACGATTCATCTATGTATCATCTATATAAATTCGAGATGGCAAGGGTGGGGCTCAGAGCTACACCTGGATACGCTCGCTGTATCATCCTCATAGGTGCTGTATCACTGGCATCCGACCGTTGTGTTAAGCCCTTATTACGCCTAGCTTCACCAATGTTATGACCCTTATGTTCTTCAAACAATAGGGTCTGAATGGCACTGATTGAGCGCAGTCTTTCAACACTGTGTGGGACAGGTGTTTGAGAGTCAGAGGCACGTGTGCTACAAATGGTTGCTCATGCAGTACTAACCCAGCCAGCAGCCCTAGTCTTTCATATTCATTATAGCAAAAGGTTCGTTCAGTGTTTGTTGGGTAGGCTGCTCCATTATGGCAATCTTTCTTTGTTTCAAATGTGTTCCATTTGTTTTGTATTTGTCACTTACGTCTCAATAATGGAGCAGCCTACCCGACAAACACTGAACGAACCTTTATGGCATTTAATTGTCCACTTTTCAAATTGTTTCAACAGTTCTTTTATTTTTCGTTTTTTTTTATTTAAGAAACATGGAGCAGCCGACCTGTAGACCACCGAACGAACCTTTTTGACATTTGTACTGGTTTTCAAAATTCTTCATTTTTTTATTATTTACGTTTTTTGTATGTAAGAAACATGGAGTAGCGTACCTGCCGACCACCGAACGAACCTTTTGCTATAAGACAAATGAAAAATAAATATTGAACACATTTGAAGAAAGGAAAATGTCATAATGGTTTATTCAGTGTATGTAAGGTAGGCTTCTCCATTATTGAGACGTAAATGACAAATACAAAACAAATGGAACACATTTGAAACAAAGAAAGATTGTTATAATGGAGCAGCCTACCCGCCAAACACCGAACGAACCTTTTTGACATTTGCTGTATATCAGACATTTCATTTCTTTTTTCCTACAAAAACGTCAATGCTTTGCAACATCTCAGCAGTCACCCTTTTATATCCCAGCATCATTAGCATCTTTAAACAAGAACAACATAATTTATGTGCATCGTCGGAGGCGTCTAAGAATGTGCAAGAAGCAGCGCAACCCCACCATGTGGTGCTGACGTTACTCAAACCAGCGTTCGTCATACGGGACGATTTGACGCCGATCGGGCCGTTCGTTACCCAAAATGTTCGTCTTTTGGGGCGATCGTTATGCGAGGTACCACTGTAATTTTCTTAATAGTGCAAGTGCTATGTTGAGCCTGGCCCCAGGCCAGATTCGGGAAGTAGAAGGACTTGCGAAACCCTCTCCAGGTCTCCAGATGTGCTCAATAATCCGAATTCTAGTAATTGGAATCTTTGAATGATCTGAATGAATTTTCATTCATTGTTTTTGAGTAAATGGCAGGAGTAAGCAAGTAAGTCATGAAAATGTGTTGGTAAATGGCAGGAGTAACTGGGTTGTAATAAAAAAATTAAGAATTTTTTCATTTTGGGAAATTACTGGGGAGAAGTGCAGCTAAGTCGAATGTTCATTTAATACAGATGTGGGCAGTAAGCATGGTCAACAAAATGCATTAAGATTGTAGTACCATATGGGTGCGAACTTGGAGGGCCAGTCCATGCTGAATCCTCAGAGGCTTGCAGAGGACTCAGAGACCCATGCACTACTCAGGAAGAGGCTCCCTTTCCAGGAGGATGGCCTCTAAGGAATGGTCACCTGTACCCCACCAAGGAAGATAATCCTGTCAGGGGTAAAGGCAAATGCAGCGAGCAAGTAGAGAAGTCAGACATTCTCAATGGGGGCGATATAGCCCCGTAAGGCATACCCTTGAAATAATTCCGGGTCGTACATTAGATAAACACACACACACACACACACACAGATTTCATTGACAACTGAAAGGAGCCGATTTATGTTTTTGCTCTTAATGCAGGTTAAATGAGAAAAATTAAACACAAAAGTACATTTACAAATTAAAATTACCCTATTTATAACTATCTCTTGTGGAACCCCTTGTTACCTTGGGATTCCATGTAGCCAAGGTTGAGAAATGCTGCTCTAGATGCATGCAACTTGAGGTGAACAATTTATTAGATTCCAGAAAAAAGTGAAGCACAAACACCTGCATGTGAAGCAAATACAAAAAGAAGAAATGAGTACACAAGCAAATGGGCTCCTACATGACAAGAATCCAAAGGATGGCAATCCAAAGGAATCCAAAGATTGCTGAAATAGAGGGAATACAGAGATCATATACGGCACCCATAGACGAGATAAAGCACCTAAATTATTGGGATCGTCTCAAAGCTCTCCAAATGTACTCACTAGAAAGGAGACGAGAGAGATACCAAATAATATACACATGGAAAATACTGGAGGGACAGGTCTCAAATCTGCACAGTAAAATAACATACTGGAGTGAACGATATGGAAGAAAATGACGAATAGTACCAGTGAAGAGCAGTAGTGCCATAGGCACAATCAGAGAACACTGTATAAACATCAGAGGTCTGCGGCCAACGTCCTACCAGCGAGCATCCGAAATATTGCCGGAACAACTGTGGACATCTTCAAGAGAAAACTAGATTGTTTTCTTCAAGGAGTGCCAGACCATCCGGGCTGTGATGGGTATGTGGGCCTACAGGTCGCTTTAAGCAACAGCCTGGTGGACCAAACTCTCACAAGTCAAGCCTGGCCTCGGGCCGAGCTTGGGGAGTAGAACAACTCTCAGAACCCTATCAAGCAGGTTTGGCCATCACTTTATCTGAAACTAGGATACGAAGAGCGCTAGTGGATACGACCTTTTAAGGTCCCTTAAAAGTGTCATTAGACGAGAACTCCTGGATGAATTTGAAGAAAGTAGAACAGTGCAAACTGGAACTAGCAGGTCCATTGTTCATCACAATGAAATGTGTGAAGTAAAACATGTGTATGGGGCAAGTAACAAAGTCAGTAGGCTAACAGATGTTGTCACAGCTCGTATAAGACTTGGCTACAAGTATCTCTGGCAGTTCAGCTTGTATAAGGATCTAGATGAAGTAAAGTGTAAAGTGTGTGGACAAAGACAGGGACACACACTCGAACACTATATCTTGGATTGTAGTAAAATTGAGCCTTTTAGAGATAAATCTAAGCTCACTCTGTATGATATGGCAACCTATCTTATTACCATGGATAAATTACCTGAAATCCTTGCACTGTACCCACATTTCGCTTCCAGTAGATGAACGACATATGAGATTCAGAAACAAGTAGTGTATTGTGAGGACTAATAATAAACAGAAGCTCCCCTATGACTCTGTAATATCCCCATTGGTCAAACTATTATGTATTAGCGATAAGACCTACCAGTAATGTATGATGACTTACTGTAAATATGTAGCTCTTGAAATAGCACTTTCTCTGTATCTAGCTGACATTGTAACTATAAGGTGTGAAGGATAGATGAAATTGTTTATGTAATAATCTAAGATGGGGTCTGATAAAGACCTTTTGTGCCCTCTGTAATGCTTTTGCACTATCGCTCACAGGATGAGTATGGGGTGCACAATAAACTAGCCGCCTTCGGCGGCAACAATCATCTAGTGGATGCGAGTATATGAGTAGCAGGAGCGATGTTGCACAGTTTTGTTTTGTTTTGTTTTGTGTTTGCGTAGGTCTCATCCTGTAACTACACTTAGGTAATTACAGTTGCACCCCTGGCCCCAGGCTGGACTTGAGTAGTATTACAATTCCTTAAACCCACTCCAGATAAGATGAGTTATCTAGGTGGTGCTGGTAGCTGGGAGTTTTGTCACTTGGTGGTAGGCAGCTGCTAC